ATTTCGCCAGTCTGCCTGTTCTGTTCCCCACTCTGTCTCTGGTGAATCCTCTCACCCTCCTGCGAATCTGACATGTACCCAGCTCTTGTATAAAAATAAATAAATCTTTTAAAAAAAGTTTTCAAGAGTAAATAATTTGAAATCTCCAATAATTGGAGCTCGTATAGTATTTTTATTGATAATTTAGCATCCTTAACTCATTTTATGATTTATGAAAATATACTTTTAGCACCAAGTATCTTCTTTATTGTGTTCTTTGAAAACTGATGATTTATGATGGTCCTATTCAGTTCAACAGAAGAGTCAATTAACTGGAATAAACCTCTGAATCCTAATGTCTTCATATATAAAATAACAATTTATAAAAAAACCATTGTGACCATTTTAGAAAAATAGACATCTGTACAAAAAAAGTATAGAGTGCTTGTAAAATTTGAACAAATGTAAACCTCAGTAGTAATCCAAAAAATGGAGGGAATATGAAACTTTTTTCCTTATTAAATTGCAAAGATGTGAGTATGGGTAGTGAAATGGGTACTCATTATTTTCTCTTATCTGGAGTTAAAATCAGCAGAACCTTCTTAGAAAACATTTGAGTAGGGCTTTCAAGTGGCTATAGACTAACTATACAATTTGACATAGCCAAATTCCACATCTTGTTATCTATCCTAAGAAGATGGTCAAAAATACCTGCAAAGATTAGTATACACGTATGTTAATCACTGAAACCTAACCCATAGAGAATACATGAACCATGGTGGACCTCTGATAAGTACCTACATATTTCTGGGGGTCTGAAAGTCTCCATACATACATTCTTGGGGAGACTGAAAAAACCCTTTGCTATGAACAAATCTCTGACTAAATAAGCTTTGAACTCTTGCAGAGGAAATACAAGTTTTCCAGACATAAAGCAAAAAAAAGATAGATGACTTACAGTTATGATTTCAGAATTTATAATAAAATTACAGAAATCAGGAAAATAAGGTTCTGACATGAAGAAGATCTATAGATCACTGGAGTAGCATGCAGACTTGAGAAATAAGATCTTGCATTCATGGTCAGTTGATAGTTTACAATGTTTCTAGGTGGGTAAAAGAATAGTCTTTCAACAAATAGTGTTAGCATATTTGGATATCCACATGCAAAAAAAATTGATTTAGATCTTTCACAAATGACTGCAAACAGACATGAGGGATCTTTTTGGAATGATGGGGATATTGGACAGCAGAATTCTGGTGATAGTTTCAGAACTTCTTAAGTATACTAAAAATCTTTGACTTGTACACTAAAAATGGTGAATTTTGTAAATTATGCCTCAATAAAGCTGTTTTTAATGGGGCAATCAAGTGATAGAGAAAAATTTCAAGAGTTCCAGTTATTAATTTAAAATCACATATGTGAAATATGCATTGTAATGAAAGTTAACTATAAAAATTAACAAAGTCTATATTTTTTTAATAATTCAATTAAGTGTATTCAGAATTATCACTGTTCACCATTAAGGACAGAAGAATTCTCAATGAATTTAAACATCAGCTGAAAGGATCCAGGAAAAACTAATAGAATAAAATTCCTTGTGGTGATTGTTAAGCTTAGGAATGAATGTATAAGGAAGGCCTTAAACCTGGAACATCTTCTGGACAACTTTAAATGTCAGTACACAGTCAGTTATCTAAATACCTAAACATCATTGCATATATTTAAATATACTCTTTTGCAAACTCACTATTTCCCTATGATTACATCAAATTACTTGATAGCATCCTTGAAGATATGCATTCAAATTTGGTGATTTTTATGTCATAAGAAAAATGAATACCATTTGATTTTAAGAACAAATGATTCTAATAAATGGATCAAACCATCAAAAGTCTGACAACATTTTTGCAAGTTCTTTCTAACCTAAAGTGAACATTCACAAATGGTTGTTAATGTACATACAGAAGAAAAGTGAATAGGTAATCTGAATAGATGAGTTTATCTACACTCTTGGTTGGTTGCTGCCATTTACTCAAATACCCACCAAGGTTGCCATAGTGAAAAAGAAATTGTCAATCAAAGATGAAGATATAAAATGGAATTGAAAAGTAATTTTACTCTCAAATGGTTTGCAAATATAGATGTTAAGTTTGGAATGAATGCCGTTAATGACCATATTGGGAGAGTTACACACCTGCTGATCACTAGAATATTATAATAAATGAGGTTGATTTTCTTGTTGACTACCTCCATTTTCCCCGAACATTGTCTCATTACTTTTCCTATCACGTTGTTGACCCTTCACTATTAATATTCACAGATATAAAAGTATATTAACTCAGTTTTTAAATATGTATAATGTAGGCATCTAATACACATATTTTTATTTATTTTTATACAAGAGCTGGGGTACTGGCCTGAGGTACAGGAAGGTGAGAGGATTCACCAGAGACAGAGCAGGGAGCAGAACAGGTAGACAACTGAAATACACTGCTGAGGGGAGCAGCGGGTGCGACAGGAGAGGTCTGCCATGCCACCTGGGAATCTCCTTGGCCTGCTGGGAATTGAATCTGTGCTGCAGAGGCTGAGGACAGCTTCACACTGCTGTCCCTCCACATAGTTTTATATGTATATCTTTAAGCATAAGAGGAGCGATGCCGGTGTTGCTTGTCTTTTTCTGCTTTGTTAGGTCACAGAAGGTTTTAGATGGTGAAAATCAAGCCTATATAAGTGAAAAGCTGTTTTACAAAGCAGCCTTTCTTACAGCAACTAAATTGTCCCCAAAAAAGCACATAAGCGTAATGAAGCTTTTAAGTAGTCACACATATGCATTTATATTCTCTCATGAATGACTAATTTTAATTTTTTTTTTTTAAGTAGCAATTCAGCATGCTTTCAGAATCATTTAAGCTTAGCTCATGATTTTGTTTTCCCTCCCAAACCAACTATTCTTGATTATGAGATTGGGGAGGTTTGCATATTTATTTTTGCAAAGACAGTAGGCTAAATCCTCATTACCATATGGGTAGCTTAGTCTTAATACCTCTGTCCTAAACTGGGCATGATCATTTAGAAATTCTTCCTGACATTAGAACCATCATAGTTAGATTTAACCGAGAACTACCCTGTAAAAGCAAAACTTGACCACTGTGAGGGTGAAATCATGCTGTACATCCATTGTGTGGTTCTTGTTGAGCTTCACAGCTTAAGTGGCTCACCTCTTTTAATAAATATTTGTTGGATTACATTGAAAGATCCATTCTAAGAAGAACAAATATTTATTTTGAATATTCATAGTCCTCCTGCTCTTCCCAAATATCTGCATGATTCCTACCTTTGCGTCATTCATTCCAGTGGTTTTGATCCTTTGGTGCCTTCTCCAGAGGGCCTTCTTTAACTACCTTTTCTAAAAATAATTTTTTTTACATGCCCTCTCCTTCCCCCCACCCTTGCTGTCCTTTTTTTTTCTTCTTGGCCTTATTGTGCACAGTTCTGTTATATTATCTCCCCCATTAAACACATGCTTCCTGGGGGTGGTGGTGTTTTCATTTTGATATCCCTATATCTCCCAGATTTAGCACTAAATAGTTAGTTGTTCAATAAATAGATAAGCATGGCAGCAGAAGGGCTTCAAAAAAGATAGTTCTATAAATATTTCCTAAATAACTACAAAACTCTGAACCTAGCTCTGTGAGAGTACTTAATAACCAGTATGTGGTGTCAACCCTTGAAGAATTTACAGGCTAGTAGGAGAGACAGATTAGAGAACAGTCCATGTATGATGATTCCCACATGAATATTTTTTGGTTCAAACAAAAGAAATTTATTTTCTTCTAGTCCTGCAGGAGTACAGTCCAATATCAAGTTGTCAACAGGTTTGACTGGTTCTGAAGCCTCTCTCTTTGACTTGCAGAAAGTCACTTTCTTGCTGTGTCTCCATGTGGTCTTTCTTTAGTGTATGCATGTTCCTGGTGTGTCTTTTTGTTCTCCAATTTCTTGGGGTTTTTTTAATTTGTGTTTTATTGAAGTATTTAAATTTCAGGTGTGAATCATTCAGAATCAACATATATGCACTAAATTAAGTTCACTGCTAAAATCCCAGTTCTGTCTTTCACCATACCATTGTCCCTTTTTTCCCCAATCAATCCACCTACCCCCACCTTCCTCTTCCCTTTTGGTAGTAGAAAATTTATCTATTTTTTTTCAGTCATCTGTTTGTCTTCTCTGTATACCACATCTCAGTGAAATTATATGGTGTTTGTCTTTCACTATGGGCCTAGTAAACTAGGCACAATTCCCTCTAGATACTACCATGATACCTTTTTAATGGATGAGTACTATTCCATTGTGCATATATACCACACATTCTTCATACATTCGTCAGTTGATGGACACTTACGTTGTTTCCAGTTCTTGGCTATTATAAATAGTGCTGCAATAAACATAGGAGTGCACATATCTCTTCAAATTTAAGTTTTTATATATTGGGGTTAAATACAGAAGTGGAATGATGAGGTCATAGGGAATTTCTATTTTTAATTTTTTGAAGTATCTCCATACTGCTTTCCATAAAGGCTGCACCACTTTATAATCCCACCAACATTGTATATTTGCTATTTTATACACACACATACACACACACACATTGTGTATATAACAATGTGTAGGGCTCCCTTCCCTGCACATCCTCTCCAACACTGCTTATTTCTTTCCTTTATTTATTTTTTTGTTTATTTATTTATCTTTACACAGCTGTTGAGTGACCTTCCAGTTCCCTTTCTTTGGTCTTCAGCATCAAAGGTGTGACAGGCCTTTGGTTCTGGTACTGATGCATGAAGCTTTTCAGGGTAATGCCCCAAAGCACTAAGATCTGTGCCACCTGCTACTGGACTGTCCATTACAGAAATCCATCCCACCCCAAGTGCCCCACCACACTACTTCTCTAGTTAATTCAGACTCCAGCAACAGAACATATATACTGGCCTCTGGAAAGGTCTAAATAGAAAAATTGTAGGTAGAACTGTATTTTCCCAAAATGTTGCAGATCAGTTACAGCAAACAGAATGGCGACCGTCAAGGAAAACTATTACTCTGGGTTCCTTTTTGATCACAGCGGCTACGTGGAAGCAACTACAGCTTCGATAAGGGCCCCTGTTACCTTTTGTATAATTGACATTCTGACAGGTATGAGGTGCTACCTCAATAATGTTTTGGTTTTAATGCCTATAATAATAAAAAAAAATTGTGCCCATGTCCTTTACTCAGACTATGATTCGAGGATGTTCTTTTTAAAGAAACTACACAATACAACCATGTATATGAAGGAGCTGAAAGGATTAGATTATCAAACAGACTCCTAAGAATCAGAGGTTGTAGCCAGTCTTAAATTTTATTAATTTCACAGATACAAATTGTATTGCAGAAAGAGATCTGAGACTGCAGTTACAGCTCTCCAGTCCTTTCTAAATGGACATTGGCCCAGATTTAACAGATGAGTTCTCTGTACAATACATGAAATATATTATTCAAAGGGAGCTGTTTTGGTCATTATATACATTTGTAGCTAATCTGATATTTTCCAGGGAACTGTGCCCCAAAGTTCATGGATTCCAGTTTGTTAACCATAAGCAATCCCAAATAGGCCAGGTACATCCTGTGAAAAACATTACTTTTCCCTTAATAAATACCATTAGTGTTTTTGCCTGAAGGTTAATCATGTTTACATGGAGCTTTGGCTGATCACCTTTCTCTTCTGGAATGTCCTTTAGTAGAAGAAAAGAATGAATTGCAAGCCTGTTAACCACCTTTTCCTTCTAGGTACACTAAGCCAGGTGACTACCATCCACTGGAATTGTCAGATAGACTTGTAAATAACTTGCCATTATTTCTTCTTGCTTTACCTTTTTAGATAGTTTCCTGGCTCTGCCACCTGCTAGCTTTGAGACATTGAACAAGTTACATAAAGTCTCTCAGCCTCTCACTAAATTGGTAAGGTGTGAATATTAATTCCTATTTCAAAGGATTGTTGGGAGGAAGAAATGAGATAACACTGGTGAAATAATGTGCAGATTCTGACCCATAGGAGCAATTCAGATGTTGCTTTTCTATTTCCCATCCTTTCTGGGTTTTTTTTTTTTTTTTTTAAGATTTATTTATTTATTTATACAAGCACTGGGTGCAGTCAGAAGCGCAGGAGGGTGAGAGGATTCACCAGAGCCAGAGCGGGGAGCAGAGCAGGTAGAAGGACCGAAGTACACTGCTGAGGGGAGCAGCCAGCAGCAGGAGAGGTCTGCACGCCATGTGGGACCCTCCTCCGGTGGCTGGGGAGCAGCTGGGGATCGAACTGGCGTTGCAGAGGCTGTGGGCAGCTTCGCAACCCAGCGCTCAACCGCTGTGCCACCGGGGAGGCCCTCCCATCCTTTCTGTTTGTAATTATGACCTTCATGTCTTCCCTCCTGGGATCTTGGTATCACATGTTATGGCTCCCCACAACCAACCCTGGCTTTATTCAGTACTACTCTTTCTTTCAACCAGCTGTGATGTTCTCGCCCAATATGTCTGAAGAACCCCTTTCCCCCATGTCAGTCTTGCTGTCTTTGTTACATGAGATCGTCATGAGCATCAACGACTGTGGTGCATCAACAATTGTGGTGAAAAGTGATATTGGAGTAGACTAAGACTGAGAAGTAAAAGATAATAGGTAGGGAGAATAGTAAGGAAGGGTATTTAAAGCAACAAATGACCTGAACTAGCATCATGGCTATGGAAAACCAAAGGAAGAAACCGATATGAAGTTGTTAAGAAAGTGACTTTGACAAGATGTAGCTACTAATGAGCTTAGTTAAAGCAATCAGTGGTTCTTAGGGATCCTCACTAATAAATGAAAGAATATTAAGTATATGTATGTGAGTAACTATAGTGAGACAGTTAGGTGATTCCCAAAACATGGAAATGAAGAAAGCAAGGTTAGCATTCAGATTTTAATTATAATAGTTCTTGGAGCAGAGGTTTCAGACAAATCTAGTGGAACACTTTGTCAATGGAAAGAAGATAAGCACACATGAGCAGAAGTACATGCACACACAGGCACACATGGGCTTTGTCCATCTAAATGCAGTGAAGGTTAGAAACATAGCTGTCAGATATTAAATATGCTTGCAAGAGCAAGATCTTCTTAGTGTGGATATTTATAGGTACCACCTGCTTTAAGAGGAAGCCAGCATGAGCTTAAGTAGATACTAGAATCATTTAGATGAAATTTTATATCTGGATTCTGTTTGATGTGTGACTTTGGGAAAGTCACTTTGCCTTACTAACCTTAGTTTCCTTACCTGTTAAGTGGAGATGATGATAATAATAATAATAGCTATTTTGTAGGGTTTTTCAGAGGATTAACTGAGAAAATACATAGAAGTGCTTGCTAGAGTGATAGCATGTTGGAAATATTCAACAAATGATAGATACCTAGTAATACCTTTCCTTTGTGGAATGAATGCATCAAGTACAAAAGCATAAGTCACTTATTCTAATTATATGCAAAACCAACCTTCTGATACTTGATAGATTATTTTTCTTCAGACAAAGTACTACATTCTAGTAGAATACACTCCAGTCTTGCTAGCTTTGAGATCTTTTTAGGAAGCTCTACATGAAATCAAGGTTGAAAGGAACATATCTGTGACCTACTGGAAGATTGGATTTAGAATGGAATCCAGAATAGAGCAAGAAGAGATTCTATCGGATTAAGAAAGGGAGAAGATAAATATATTGAAAGTGTTTGGCTATGATTCTGTAAGAACATAAACCAGGACACTCTTGTCAGTGCCGGCACAGTGTCTGACAAATAGTAGTTACTCAGCAGACACTGAGCAAATGAAAGAGCCTCAGCTTTTTTCATTTACAGTTGTGGGGTTTATTGTCACAAGTGGACTTTGGCCCAGATTTAACAGATGAGTGGAGACACACAGGTGACTACACATTTATCAAAACAAATGAGATCGTACACTAAAATCTGTGCTTTTCAGTTACAGAATTTTATCCCAGTAAAAAAATAAAAAAGACCATAATTTTCTATTTTCTGATTTCCATTCAACATGCAGTGTAGACTCCTGAGCCTCTTATAACTCCCTGTGGGGAACAATAAATGTATAAGCCCCTTACCTTGAAATAAAAGCCATGCCCTTGTGATTTGAGTCTTACTTTCCCTTTTCACCTGATGTCTATTCCTTACCTACTAGGTCCTAGCCCAGCCGCCTTACCTGTCTAAAGTGTTCATTCCTTGATATTTTCTAGTTGGGCCTCTCTTTGTTTCCCTTGAGTGCATTAAGGATAACTTGCATTTATTTTAACTTTACTGTATTTATGATAACTTTGCACTTACTACTTTTTTCACCTGCCTTTTCCACTAGAATACAAGGTCTGGGAGCATAGGGACCTTACCTTTTTCACCATCATATTCCCCAGTGTATTGGATATTGTCTGACTCAGTGCATGTTTGTTCAACATGTGATAAATATTAACATATGAATGAAAGTGTGTTTCTTTTGTTCTATATGTTGATAAAGAAGTATACTTAAATGTTCCTATAGAATTTGACCCTTACCAATTCAAATAAAAGTGACATGGTCTTATCCTTACCAGCAAAGCAAACCTTTAATAAACTGTCTCAATAAATTTTAGTTGATGTTACCAAACTTTTTGTTTGATACAGGGGAACTTTTTCTTCCATTTTTCCCTTCTACAATCTCTATGTAGCTCTTCTATTTCCTAATTAGACCTTCCTACAGAAGAGACCCTAATGGCATCCCTTATGACAATATTTCCCAAAGCACTTGGATCCTGTATTATATTGGTGAAATGTTTGAGCACACTAACCACGTAGGTACATTTATTTATTTCAGAAATAAATAGGTTGCTGTATAACATAATAATCAAAGATGCATAAAAATAATATTTTAAAGGATGGGATGAAAATCCTAATATTTTCATCCTGCACTTCAATGGCTATTTGTGTACTCCTCTCTGCTCCCCTTATGTTAATCCCACTTTTTTTATTTTTTATTTATTTATGCATACAAGAACTGGGGTGTAGGTTAAAGGTTTGGGGGTGCGAGGCTTCACCAGAAACAGAATGGGGAGCAGAACAGGCAGATCTAATGAAATGCACTGCTGAGGGGAGCAGTGGGCGAGATAGGAGGTCTACTGTGTCATGTGGGTAGCTCCCTGCCCAGGGATCGAACTCATGCCACAGTAGCTGGCAATAGCTTGATAGTGCTCATACTGGAGAGGCCCCCTGTTCACCGCACTTGGAAGATACTGCCTTGAAGCAATATACAGCACATCACTTATACATCTAAATGTAACGCTACAGTAGTGTTAACACCTTTGCATTTTAAATCTTACCTCTAATGATGGATTGAATGGTTTTGTTGTTTTATTTTGCCAATAGATTACAATTTTAGGTCTAGGTGTAATCATCTAACCTAAATTTTTACTGTATTTATTCTTAACAATGTTCAATCATAGTGTTTCTGTAGAAAAAATATGTAGACCATTTTTAGAAGGAGGAAATAATGAAATTTGAAAAGTAGAGAAGGGAGACAAGAAAAATTTATAAAAAAGTCTATGTTGGCTTAAAAATAATTAATTACACTATAAATATTGATAGCAGTACTTGAATGAAATGTTATCTCCTTAGGAAATTGTTAACTGTAGAAAATTACCCATTATTACTTCTAGACAAAGTCACTAAAAATAGAGGGGTAAGTCACTATTCTCCAGTAAAAGACAGTCTTTAAAGAAGCATCAATTCTACAATATAGCAGCCTAAAACAGGTATGGAGATTTTAAGCCTGCTATGTTACCTCTGAGACCTAAAGGAAGCAGAACATAAAAATGAGCCTCTATCAATTTGAAGTAAACCTAATCTTTGTGATCATGGCTGTGGTCTAAATCTATTAAAGATGTTCAAATTCAGTGTCCTTGGTATCATTGCAGGTTGACCTGAATAGCGAGCAATAAACTTGTGTATTATAATTCTGTCTCAAAGATATGTGCTTAGGAAGTGAAACCGACAGTCAGTGTTTTGTCTGTCTCTAAGCAGACTAAGAGCCTATATAAAATGACAGGTGCATTTTTGGGGAAAGAAACCCATAATGTTTTCCTATTTAGTTGGTGACAGTATGTCCCAAGATAACACACGCTTAAGGGGCTGGAACAAGCATGGTTATTAAAGGCTAGCAGTTTCTCAGTTCATACAAATTGAATTTTTTCATAGGTTGCAAGACTGTGGAAATCTAGTGTAGAATACTGAAATAAATTAGCATATTAAGTGACTTTATACATCCAAGCTTGTGAGCTCTTTGAATTTAAGGAAGAAATTTTATTACTTCTTGAAGGAAAAAGCAATTCTTAAATTCCATGGTTGATCTTCCTGTTAGAAAGGACCTATGATAAATGATATCATTTTGATTATTTTTTAAAGACTTGGTTATTTATACAAGAGCTGGGGTACAGGCCAGAGGCATGGGAGGGTGAGAGAATTCACCAGAGACAGAGTAGGGAACAGAACAACAGACTCATTGAAAACACTGCTGAGGGAAGCAGCACCAAGACAGGAGAGGTCTGACACACCATGTGGGTTGCTCCCTGGCCAACTGAGAATCGAATCTGTGCTGCAGAGGCTGCAGAAAGCTTCAGACAGCTTCACAGCGCAGCACTCAATCTACTGCTCCACCAGGGAGACCCCATTTTGATTATTACTCAAAATGGTTATTATATTGATGGGAATCTTTCCTTTTTCAGCATTACTGATTTAGGGAACATCAAAAGAAGATTGTATTTATCAACAGTCCATAAGGAACTGTCCTCAACCCCTCTTCATGCAAAAATTCCACTCTTCATGATCAAGCGCAAAATTGTAAGTATCACATGAATATTGCTTAAAATAATAAATTCAGTTCAGCAAATATTAATAATAGGCCTATTCTGTGTATAAGTTATTTTGTTCAGTACCATGGTAGTCTAAAATATGAATAAAATTCACACACTTTCCTAAAAAATCTGTTAGGTGAAAGAATATTATTATTTGAACATCTAGAATGTCACCAAAACTGTGATACAGGAAGCACAGTGGAGAGAAAAGTTACTATTGATACAGTGAAAGGGAAAGAAGTTCATCTGACTACATGATGGCAGAGATTGCATTTGGTATATACGTTGAAATTCTATGGGATTCCATGGGGGGCCATGGGAGACCAAGCATTCCAAGCAGAAGAAACAGGAGCTGAAAGCCTGGAGGCTGGAAAATGGTATATCTTTGGAGAACAGAGAATGATTGTTGCCAATTTGGGGGGAAAAGCTTTAAGAAAATATCAGTCCTACAGTAAATCAACTGATATATTGAGAGGTTGGGAGATTTTATGCCTGTTATTTACAACCTCTGAGACTGAAAACAGCTTAAGAGTATAAGAAAGTAAGCAATAGGGGATAGGCCCATAAATGTGGTATGATATGAAATCTCTCTCAAGCTTCAGTCATTTCAGTGCTGCTGTCACGGCTTTACCATGTTAATATACTCTCTATTCTAGTATGTTCTTAATATTTTCCTTTAAATCAACCCAACATTTTTTGGCTTAGATAAATTTATTATAAAAGAAAACTTGATATGTCTCTTATAAATGGAAAACAAATGAAACTTAATTTCCAAAAATGAAATGTAACCACAAAAATATGCACTCTCAAAACAAATCAATATTTGAAAATCTAGGTAAGTGCTGTTTCCTGGGTATGACTGTTCTGAGGTCTGCTCTTTGTTAAAATATTTCAAGCTTTCTCCCAGGAATACTCAGGAATAAAGGAAAACTGATAGAGGGAAATTCATTCTGTGATCCAAAATAAATGACATTTATTCTGTCATTTAATGTCACTACCATATACCATCTAAGATAAATTCACAGGTGGTGCATGTTCCACTCTTTGGGAAACATAGTAGAGAAAAGGGAGCCATTATATTTTTGATTTGGGGCACACAGTCCTGTGTTTGGAATCGTTTGGAGGAAATAGAAGAAAGTGGAGGTGAGATCACTTGCAATAAACCAGTTGAGAGTTATTAAGGATCATAGTGGTAACAGTAGAGGAATGAAATTGAGTTAGCATCAAAACCTTATAGTCAAATGAGCTAAAACATGTAAACAGAACTTTTCCATATTGGTACATTCTATGAGAGAAGGAATCACAAGGTCAGAGAAGTTCTTCTGAAGAAGGGGGCACCAGAGCTGGGCATTGGAGGAGGAGAGGGAACTAACTAGTGTAAGTGCTGCATTTCTAGAACAGAATTAAAAGTAGTTGCATGGGGTGTGCACGCAATTCCACCGATCCAGTGCTGCTGAAGAGAAAGCAGAATAGTGGGGACTTGGTAAGGCTGGAGAAGTAAGTGAGGACAACCTCCTGGTAGCCTCTATAATTCTAGCCAGGTAACCTGGACTTTTATCTCATGAGTTATAGGGAGTCATTGAAGGACTTAGAGTAGCAAGGGGTCATTTAATCAGATTTACATTTTAAACAGGACATCATTTTAGAGATAGGTGGAAAGTATAAGACTGAAGACCTGAAGGGCCACTTAAAAAGCCACTGCAGTGGGCAGTACATGGGAAGTTTGGTCTGATTTTATTGCTTTTGTACTCCCAGTGCCTATGCAGCACTTGGCTCCTCCAATGCATAAATATGTAAGTAGGTAGGTGGGCATATAATGGATAGAAGCATGGGTTAATTATATTTAGGTGATAGTAATGAGGTGTTTGGGTTGAAACTAGGATGAAGAAGAGGAAACAGGGTTGAAAAATAGATGTTAGAAAAGAAGAAGAGGAAAGGCAAGGTTGACTCTCAGATTTCTAGTTTGGATAATCGAATGTTAGATAGTGGTGACATAGAAAGAATCCAGGAAAAAGAGCAAGTTTAGAAAGGGAAGATAGAAATGTTAAAGGGTCTCCAGGACATTCAGATTGAAAATTTTGCAACTACATACATTTTAAAGTCTTAGAGAGAAGTCTTGTCTGGATATGTGAGTGAGTTCAGCATGGAAGTAATAGTTAAAGTCATGAGAATGAATAGCATTGCCTGCAGAGAGAGTATAGAACAGCAACAACAAAAGAGTCTAGAGAAGGAAATGCAAGGACCTGCCCAATAAAAAGGCAGGCACAGGAAGAATCCATAAAGGAGACGGGGCAAAAATAAGAAAATGATGTGAAGCAGAGTGAAGTATTGTAGAAACCATGCGTGTTTCAATAAAGGGAGTGAAGATGTGAAGGTATTTAGGGAGGTTGCAATCAGGAAGCCATTAGTAACTTCAGCGAGAAATTTTGGCCTATGAAGAAGAAGTCAGGGTCATGGACTAAGAGAACAAAAGATAGAGACAACAAGTACATGCTGACCATTTCTTTTAAGTAGGCGTATTCACTGAACTTGATGTTGAGTAAAGGAGAGAAATCAAAGATAACAGATTTTGAGTCTGGGAAACTTGGAGATTGGCAACTCAGTAACAGATAGAAGATGGGTTGTGGGATAAATTGTATCTGTTTGCAGTATAATTCTTTAAAATATGCATTTCATACTAAACATTCCCAAGTGCTCAAAGACAAATTTTACATTCTCCAACTATTCAAATTAAATCATTTAATACATGGAGGAAATGCCTTAGTGCCTCACAAATAAAAGTTGTTTTCATCTTCTTTTATTTAAGTATTGATTTCTTATTCATCTAGGATTGTTTAGAGTTCAGTGTTGGTTGAGTGGTTTCTAAGAGTTAAATCATATGTGGGACCAATACACTATTTTGTGTGTGGTTAATAAATCAAATTTGTCATTACCTTGTTTTAGTGAGTTCAGTCACCCTTGTCAGTTAACTAACTCTGAAGTTTCTGGATATTGTATTAAAATCTAAACACATTATATTCTGTACGTGGCTATAATACATACAGCATGTCCTCCATCCAGTGACATTATTGAGACTATAGTATTTGAAAATAAAGTGTCATCTTTCTGTTATAAGTAGGCCACACAAATATTATGTTGAGATCGGAAGTAAACTTGATTGAACTATCTTTTATATTTAATAAATGAGTTCTGGAGATGAATATGGGCTAGAAGTACTAGTTACCTAAGGACACCTAAGGACACTATTTTGACTTAGACATAAAATAAGGACACCTAAGGACACTATTTTGACTTAGACATAAAATAACTGTAGGTCTGCAGGGGAGTATTCCGTAGATCATCTGTCTACCCTTATCTTTCCCACTCCAATCAGATATCTCAGCAGAGCATATAAAAGAAAAGAGATGCAGGTTCAAACATTACATGTAGTTGTTTAAAAAAGAATCCTCATGTGGAGAAATCAAACTGGTCTCTATCTTAGATGGCTTCAGTTCTTGCTAAGTGTTAAAAAATGAAAGTCACAATATAGCTGAAAGTTTTCTTCTGAATGTTGTTAAATCTGGAAAGAATTGCTCAATTACATTTAAGACAGTGCTAAGCAATTAACAAAGATATTTGTTCCTATAATGAAATCATCAAGTTATAACTACTGACAATGTACTCTATTCTGTATTTTGTTAAATATTATCATGTAAATAATATACAGGGGTTAGTAGTATGGCAACTGAATTTTGACAATTACTAGTTATATAACCATGCTTAAGTTCCTGTATTCATTTTTCTTATCTATAAAATGCAGATAACATGAATATGTTTTTAAATCTTACTATTGAGATTGTTGTTGAAATTTAAATGAGTTAATAAATATAAGATTTTTAGAACAATGCTTGGAGTAGACTAAGACTTAGACAAGAATTATAGGATCTATTAGTTCTTTAGGCTCTACTTCCAGGAAGCCCTTGATGATTTCACTCTCTGTGAAATATATATTTTGGATATAGCCTATCATTGTCATTCACAAAGTCATAACTCTAATAACACTTCTTGCAGTTTAATCTTCTGCTTATTTCTCTTTTATCTGTAGTCCCTATCAGCATAGTAAGTAGTCAATAAATGTTTGTTGAACAAATTGGCAAGGCTTAATATATCTACTTACATGGAAGACAAAATTATGAGTTTATTGTGAAGAAGTTGTATAAGCTTATAAATGTGCTTGGCAATTCCATGAAATGTCCATGAAATTTAAACAAATATCAAGGAATTCACTTTGAAAACTTGCTCTGATTTCACCTCAGTTTCCTCCAAACCAAAGAGCTGCTGTGGCAGCAGGGTCTTTTCTTTCTGCTGCTAACATAGTTATTCCCATTGCAATCTTATACTATTAAAGCTGAGTCATATTTTAGAGAAAATTTCTAGAGCATCAAGGTGACATTTAAAATGCCAATCAAAACGTGCATAGAAAACATACAGATGATCAACAAGCGTATGAAAAAACATTCAATATCACTTATCAGAGAAATGAAAATCACAACCACAATGAGATATATCTCACACCTGTGAGAATGGCCATATGAAAAAACTAGAAAGAATAAATGTTGGTGAGAGTGTAGAGAAAAAGTAACCCTTATACACTGTTGGTAGAAATGCAGACTGGCTAAGCCCCTATGGAAAACAGTATGGAGATTCCTCAAAATAGAAAAATTAGATCTACTGCATGACCTACTCCTGGTTGTCTACCTGAAGAATGCAAAAAACACTAACTAAAGGGAATATACATATGCCTGTGTTCACTGAAGTACTATTTACAATAGCCAAATTATGAAAACAACCTAGTGCCCAGCAACAGGAGTTGATTAAGAAGATGTGACATTTTATAAACACACACAAACACACACACATGATGGAATACTACTCAGCTATAAAAAAGATGAGCTGTTGCCATTTATATAAACTATGCTATGTGAAATTAGTCCAAGAAGAAAGACAAATACTAGATGATTTTACTCATGTGGAATATAGAGACAAAAAAAATAACAAAGATAAACTAAGATGAAAACAAACCCTAGAAATATGACTGCAGAATTGAGACTACTAGAGGGGGAGGGGGAGGAGAGGTAGAAACAAAGGGGAAAAGGGCACAATGGTCAAGGATAATTTAGCCCCAGCATCCCCTCCTCAACTCCCATTTCTCCTTATAAGGACGTAAGATGATTTGCTTTTACTGGGAAAATTGCTTTTTAATACAGTATAACAGTTATTGCTTCTCCTGACCATGTGATGAAACAATGTGATGGCCATTAGAGATGAATAAGGTCATTGTGAGCAGATTTTCTACTGAGAAAACTAACCTTTGAAAAGTTTTTCAAAGCTACAAAAATAAATGACTTAAAACCCCTTTCTTCACCTTCATTTTAGGAGCACAAAAACAGAATGAAGTTCTAAAATTCTGGAAAGAGATGTATTTCAGGATTGCTGGGTTATGAAATTGTGGTTTCTTGTCATTTCCTTTTATAAAGGCAATGCTGGCTCGAACTGTGCACTGCGTGTTTAGGGCTCTTTTTTGACTGGCAAAATGAATACAATTATCTTCAGCTCTCTCCCTCAGTAATGGCAAAGAGTAGGGGCATGGGACATAAAAAAAGTGCTGCGACTGGGACAACCAAAAAAAATGTTATTGCATGCATTTGAGTGTGTGAGTGTATGTGTGTGTGTGTGTCTGTGTTGTGTGTGTGTTTTCACAGAATATACTGTGCCGTTACCATTATAATGTTATATTGACATGAGTCAGTAAAAAACTAAAAATTGTCATTGAATTATTCTTTCACCCTTGCCTGCCAATTCCTTCATGCAAAATATCATGCTAAAAGTAAACAGGATAACTCTTATTAATCCAAGCACCAAACTGAACAGAACTTTCTTCTCTATTAGATTGCTTGCTTTCTATTTTATATTTCTTAAGAACCCCATAATTATGAATATTTTATGTCAAGAACTCTTCCTTGCTGGACAAGAGATGCATACAGAAATAAAATGATCAAGAAAAATGTCAAAAAGGGAATTTTAAGAGCTGATGATATCACAGGGAATAATGAAAATAATATTTCATAAAGATCAACTGTAATTCAGATAATCCACCTCTTGCTAGTAAAAACTTCATATTCTTTTCCAAAGCTTCAGAAACTATATCACAGCATTTATATTTATCTGAATAATGAGTTATTTGTTGAAGCTTATGAAAATTGGAATCTTTATAAATATCAGCTAAACCCCCATATAAAACTATTTCCTTTAGACAGGGAGATTTGTGAAAGTTATTCTCATCTTTTTCAGGAACTACAGCCATTTGAACTTCTAAGAGATGGATTAAGTAAATATGTTTTCAGTTCACAGACAGTGGATTTGTTGAATGATTTGTAAAATGAAAAATTGAAAGTATTGGTGGTAGGAATGGATGTATATGCATGACTTCATATATTCATATATTCACACAAGCCTACCATTATTTGTTGAGTCCAGACAGAGGGAATAAAAGCAGCTTGACTGTAAAGGATAAGCAGAGTATGTAGTGAGTCAGGGCCTGGTTTCCTAGGACTCAGTTTTTGAAGAAGGTGTAGACACCAGTTCCCCAAAAGAGCCGACCAACTGGGTCTGATAGAATGTCCAGGTTCAGCCACCTGCAAAATTTTAACTACACAGGGAATAAAACTGCAGGGTCCTGAGAAGGAATGCCCAACATGTCCGTAGGCCTCTGGACCAGAAAGCTCTTATTCATTGTTTAAAACCAAACCTAGTATCACCTCCAAGCCTCTACTGAATGTAGCAATATTTGGTTTCAAAGAAAATGAAGCAGATAATTTAAAAAACAAATTTTAGCTCTAGAAACAAAGAATTTATATAAGAAAAGGAAAGGTAATCTTAGATCATCACTTGGCTCAGTTGTGCACGATATTTGTATAGTTATAATGAGGAAAACACAGTGTATGGTTTTTAAGGAAATAAAACAGAAAGAATGGACGATAATTTCCTAAGGAGCATGAATTGGGGAAAGTAAGATATGTAAGTGAACTGAAAGTTTTATCTACCATAATAAGAAATCAATAATGGGGCCTCCGTGGTGGTGCAGGTGGTTGAGTGCAGCGCTATGAAGATGTCCAAAGCTTCTGCAGTGCCGGTTCAATCCCCGCCGGCCACGGAGCAGCCCACATGGCGCAGCAGACCTCTCCTGTCTCACGCGCTGCTCCCCTCAGCAGTGTATTTCAGTCAGTCTGCCTGTTCTTTTCCCCGCTTTGTCTCTGGTGAATCCTCTCACCCTCCCGCACATCTGACCTGTACCCCGATTCTTATATAAATAAATAAATCTTTTTTTAAAAAAAAGAAATCAATAATGTCTAAGTATTATTATTATTAATACTTTAGAAGTATTAAAATACAGAGAAAAGAAACAGTTAAGAGTTGACTCAGATGAGTGGTGTGGTGACAAGACTGCATTTCCTATCTGTCTGACTTAGATTTGCATGTAACATCACGATGAACATTTAAAAAAATTTTTTAAAGAAGTCTTTCCTTAGTCTCCCAACCCTCCCACCTTGAGCCCCATCTGTATTAACTTAACTGTATATAGTAGGTATCACATATGTGCCTCTCTTCGTTTATTTAAGAAATAATTTACTGCAGTCTCTTTTTCCTTACTACAAAGGAAACCACCTTAGGTTTGCCTCCATTGAAATCAACATTCGTAAATAGGAAAAGTTTGCCTAAAAAAAAGACATTATTTCCTTTATCATTAATATAACTTTCTATTTCAATAGATTAATAAAATGAACCATATGTAAACTGTGCTTCTAAACAAATAATGAAAAAATATTTATTTACCAAGACACACAATATCAAGTACAACTTTTCTCTTTTTTTCAGAATTTTTTCCTGCAGTCTTAAGTATCTTGATTTCCTACTAAATGATTATTTTCCCTTTCTTTAACTCAGTCGGACCATTTAGAAAATACATTTCATGATGCATTGAGGGATCTAATTGTTTAATGGGCAGATTAGTCCCTTTAAGGGTACTTTAAAAACTGATGAATACCAGGCATACTTACAAATTCTTTAGAAGAATCTGTTTCTGTACAATAGGTTAATTGCTTATAAGTAGACAGTACTGGCCACAATTTAAATCCGCTTCTGATTTCATCCATGCCTTTTTCTTAACAAAAGTGAGTGGCTAATTGTGATCCAGTCGGTCCCCTTGAAGGAACAATTGGCTACTTAGTCCTGATTTTCAAGATTTAAGTGGTCTAATGTACCTGCAATTAACTTCCTACTACCGTACTGTCTACAGACCTAGAGTTATTTCCCAAAGTTGTCAAAGCCTTGTTTTATGATGGGAATTCTGAAAGTGATTATCATATGACCAATGTGTAGTTTAAATTGTGATGATTTCTTTGGAAGAACTGAGGAATTTTTTAAGAAAACTGAAGCCAAGACATAGATTTGGCTAAAGGGGAGAATTGGTTTTGGACTGATGGATACAACTAAGGTCCTTAGTTCCTTAGACTTTCCATGAATATATGGCTTATCATATGACTGTAAGTTAACTCTTCTTTCCTTTTCTTGTTTTAGTGGTGCAATCTGTGCATTGACTTAGTGGCATTTACCAGTGAAATATTTAAGGGAGCAGTTTTCCAGTCATTGGATGGAATTATTGTCTCAGCTAACTGTAAGCTACGGAAAATCTTCACTTTAAAATCAAAGCCTCAAGACACTGCTGATAAAGATGGTATGTTCAGGTTACTATTAAGATTTTTAAATCCTCCATTTTTTTTTTAAATTAGACATGCCTTTGGATAATATGAATACACGGGAGTATATTCTTTTTTAATTTTATTTTGCTTTATTGTGAAAAGAACATTTAACCCAAGATCTGTCCTCTTAACAAAATTTTAAGTATACAATATTGTTGATTATAGATACAATGTTATATAGCAGATCCCTAGAGCTGACTCATTTTCACTGAAACTGTATCTATCAAGGACTCTTTACAACTCAACAGCAAAAGGACAAACAGGGCCTCCCTGGTGGCGCAGCAGTTGAGTGCTGGGTTGCAAAGCTGCCCACAACCTCTGCAGCGCCGGTTCAATCCCCGGCTGCTCCCCTGTGGCCACCGGAGGAGGGTCCCATATGGAGCGCAGACCTCTCCTGCCGCCTGCTGCTCCTCTCAGCAGTGTACTTCGGTCCTTCTGCCTGCTCTGCTCCCCGCTCTGGCTCTGGTGAATTCTCTCACCCTCCCGCGCTTCTGACTGTACCCAGTGCTTGTATAAATAAATAAAAATAAATCTTTAAAAAAAAAAAGGACAAACAGCCCCATTTAAAATTGGTCAGAGTTTGAATATGTAATTCTCCAAAGAAGATATAGATGTTCACCTTTAATCATTAGGGAAATACAAATTAAAACTACAGTGAAATACCACTTCACACCAACTAAGAAAAATAAATGTTGATGAGGGTGGAGAGAAGTTAGAAACCCTTGTACATTGCTGATGGAAAAGCAATAATGGTCCATCCACTATGGAAAACATTTTGGCAGTGCCTAAAAAAGTTAAACATAAAATTACCATGCGACCCTGCAATCCCATTCTTAGGTATTTGAGTTGTGGTGTTAGTCCAGGCTTATTTACCCCTTTAAATAGCAAACCTTTATTATTATTTTTTTAGTTTTATTGAAGTACCATTGATTTACATAGCTGTTAGTATTGTGAAAGTATAGGACCTCTGCCCCCCTAGATGAAGTCTCATAGCACACCCACTACCCATAGTCTACCACCATAGTCTACCCGTGCTTGCTCCCCACTTTGTTCTCACCTCTCCCCAACCACCCCCCCAACCCCCACCCCGGCAGCCTCAGTACTATAGTCATCTTTCAAGAGTTAGTTTTTAAGTTTGGCTTTATCTGACCCTTTGGTTGCTCTGTATTCCACATACAGGTGACACCATCTGGAATTTGTCTTTCTTCTTCTTCTCATTTATTTCCCTTAGCATAATCACTTCTTGCTCCATTCATGTTGTTGCAAATGGCATGAGTTAATTTTGTCACTGAGTAGTATTCCATTGGGTATATATACCACATCTTCTTGATCCATTCATGTTAAATGTCTTATTAAAACATGCTAAGATATAGTAGTTTTATCATCATTGTAATGAAGATTCCTTGCTCTTAACCACTATAATATACTGCCTCTTAATATCTTTATGCATTACATAATAAACGCCATAAAGACAAGAATTTTTAAAAATATGATACCAAATGCCCAAAAATAGATGACTGGATCAAGAAGATGTGGTACATATATACCATGGAATATTACTCAGCATTCAAAAAAGATAAACACATGCAATTTGCAGCAACATGGATGGCGCTGGAAGGGATCATGCTCAGCGAAATAAGCCAGAAAGAAAAAGAAAAATACTGGATGGTCTCACTCATAGCAGGAATCTAGAAAACTTAAATAAGGGACCAGGAAAATGAATAACTAAGAAAGTGAAAATCAAAATCAACAAAAAACTATGAACCAGAGACACTTTTTGGGGGGTGAGGGTCGGGAGGGGAGGGATTGGGGTCAGAATGGAAGGGTTGCAATTGTATGGGGAATATAAAAATAAAATTAAGTCATATAAAAAAAAATATGATACTTGTATGGCAAATGAATGAACTAACAAAAATGAACAGACTTTATAGTAACGTTGTTGTAGATTATTTCTGTCCTCTAAAATTCATGTTGAAACCTAATCCCCAATATGATACTACCCCAATATGGAACCTTTCAGTAGTGAGTGGCTCATGAGATTAGAATATGATCAGGGTCCTTTTTAAGAGTCCTTAGAGAGCTCCTTCACCCCTTCTGCCATTTGAATTTATGACAAACAGCAGGTCTGTGTGTGAACCAGGAATCAAGCCTTCTCCATACACCAAATCTGCTGGTGTCTTAATCATGGAATTCTTAGTCTCCAGAAATGTAAGAAAGAAATTTCTGTTGTTTATAAGCCACCTAGTCTATGGTGTTCTCTTTGGAGAACCCAAACTAAGTTAGAGTTAGAGACACTTTTGTGTTTTCTGCATGGTTCTCTCCGGTGATCATAGGTGAGATGTCATATGAATAAGGCACTGTACTTGGCTCTGCAACTATTCTCATTCTTATAAATAAGATTCATAATGTTAGGTCTAGGACCAGTGAACTATTTTAAAAAATCGTTCCTTATTTAAACTATATGAATTAGAAGAAGCCATAAACTGAAAGGGAAATATTCCTATTCTATAAGATACTCACGCCTGATAAAATGGGGTTGAGGATTTTTAATCTAAAAGTGCTTTATATGTATTCAAATTGATGACTTAATTTTTAAAGCTAGTTAAGATCCTCATCAACAGTATTAAACACCTACATATAATGGTTCATTTTATGATAGTTTGTAGTCAAAGAAAGGCCAACAGGGTTGCAAAGTCACTCAAACATTTAATAATACACTAACTCACAGAGGGAGCAAAAACACCAAAAACCCACCATCTGGTCGTGTTTGGATGCTACATGAGCAAATCTGTTTCAGCTTTTCATAGCCTTCTCCTTCATGTACCATTTTGCCATTCTAAGCAGACCATTCTAGCCAACATTATGTTCTTTCAGAATTGTTAGCAAAGGCGGTTTAAGTTCGATTATGTCATTTTTCAAACATGAATCAAGCAGTCTGCATGTTTCCACACACAGTCCCTTCCAGAAGACAGAACTTGTCTGAAAGAACAATGCATAAGGGCCCTGGTTCCTTAGTATCGATTGCCATCTTGATTTGTTATTTGCCTTCTGGGGAGAAAGATGTGACATCCAAATAAAATGTGCATGGAGTACTTTTCAAGATATAGCTGAACAAAGAACAACCAAAGAAGAAGAATGGAAGACATGGCAGCTGCATTTAATCTTGGTGGAGTGTTTTTAAAGGGCTTTTGTCCATGACCCTTTATTGAGCATCCCCTTTGAACCAGATGCTGTACTAAATAAATCTTTGGGATTCTCCCACCCTTCTCTCCCATGCTAACAACCCTTTGGCAGGGCTTTCTTGTAGTTCCTAGAATGCAGCAGTCCTTCCGCCTTGGGAGTCTTCAAATCCCTGTTCTCTCCACCTGAATGATCTCCTTTCCACAAGGCTACTTTCTGTTTAGCTGTTATGACTCAACCTAAATGTTTCTTTATTAGAGGACACTTTCCTTGATACTCTGTGCTGTCAGATTCCCTTTTCATAACACCTTCAGCTTTTCCTTCAGATCACTTAACAAAATTATAATTGAATACATAATTTATGATATAATATGTTTTATAGTCTCTGTTAGGTGTACGGTTCAAGAAAGTTCTAGAAAACCAGAGCAGAGTACTGTGGCTCACCACTAGATTCTCAGCTGCTACACAAGTTCCTATTGCATAAGAGAGCCTCAATAAGTATTTGATGAATGATAAAATTAGAAGGTGAATTAGAATACAGACCATACCCACTATATACTCACAGTTCAGCACTATTTAATTTTTAGCTAGAACCAATGCTATTTTCAGAATTTAATCTTTATTTTTACATTAAGCTGTTAATTGCTGAAAAATAAAATAACCCAGAAATTGGACAGGAAGTAGAGAAGTGTTTAGCTGTAAGGTGGTGGGGAGACAATGTAGCTTTCATTAGTTCTATCAGAAATCCAATTACCAGCTTAAAAGCCTTCATTGTTTGGTTTCACAAAAATGAGACTAAAGCTCCTTTCCATGCAGTTCTGTACAAACTTCCAGAAAATCTGAGAATTAATAGTTGGTAAATGGGCCTAGTGATTTCTCTTTATTTGAAATAATAAACCAATAGTTTTTTCTCTAAGTTTTCCTTTTATTGCAAGGTTTATACTACCCATAGTTTCCCTCAATGAATAGTCCAGTAAGTACTGCCTTCTGTGAACAAATAGCACTGTGGGAACAAAGGGACAGTAGATCTATAAATAGGCAAGATGACACAGGAAATATTTTTAAGACTTTTAAGGTAAAGTCTGATTTGTTTGGCCAGTTATATTCCTGTAAGAGTCAGATTGGAATTTTGTAATAGTCTCTGCCTTGTTCTCTGCATAAAAGTTTATGAATTTTTGGTTGCCAGGGATTTGCTGTTTGTCCCTTGTTAGTTGGAAAATCATACTTTGTTTTGAATACATTTCAATCTTTATATGGCACTGTACCCTACACCATCCACCCAAGCCAAAATTTCCATAATTTCTCTTATGTTGATTGTAGATTTGAGAATGCAGCATTTTCTTTCAGTTTTTTGTGGCATACAGAATTTTCTTCCTCTTTTTATGTACAGTCTTAACCTATTGATATGATATTGTTGTGGAAATTGCTTTTTTCTACCTCAGAGGAGTTTGAAATGATATGCTAAATATGTCTCTGGAGTTATTTTACTTATTTTCCCAAATGTTTTCTATTTTGAGAGTTCATTTACTCAATTACTTTGTATTGATTTTCTAAATGTTGAAGACATATCAGAAATGGATGGACAGAGAACACCTGAAAACTAAGATTTGTAAGTCCTACTGCAATTTTAATGACTGGAGCATCAGGACACTTAATAACCATTACACTGCTGCTGATGAGTATTTAAGTTTTTAGTTAATGATTCCTTTTCGTTTTCAAGATTAGAACATTAGAATTTAATTAGAAAGCTGCCAGGGGTTGGGTGCACATAAACCTAACACCATTTGCCTTTATAAACATGGATAAAGTTTAAGCTTATATAATAATGATCTTTGAGGGATGATTTATAGAATTTTCTTCATACTGCTTACATTCATATATGCACACTTTTTTTTCTAAAATATACATTCTAAAACTTGAAACATTTTACTTATAAAAATTAAATATAAAGGAAGTGTTACAAAGAAGAAAATAAAAACTATGCTTGCCACTGAAAGATATTTTACATTTCATTGTAGTTCCCTTTAGTATTTTTTTTTAAAGATTTATTTATTTATACAAGCACTGGGGTACAGGGCAGAGGTGTGGGAGGGTGAGAGAATCCACCAGAGACAGAGCAGGGAGCAGAACAGACAGGAGGACCAAAAGCACTGCTGAGGGGAGCAGCGGGCACTACAGGAGAGGTCTGCTGCACAATGTGGGAATCTCCCTGGCCAGGAATCAAATAGGTGCGGAGGAGGCTGAGGACAGCTCCACAGCGCTGCACTCAACCTACTGCGCCACCAGGGAGGCCCCTCCCTTTAGTATTTTTGCTATTCATACCTGGGGTGGGTGTTTAACCAACAGGAATTTATTTTCTCACAATTCTGGAGGCTGAAAACTCAAAACAATGACATCAGCAGAATCGGTTTCTTCTGCAGTCTCTCTCCTTGATTTCTATATGGCCATGTCATCCCTGTGTCTTTACATGGTCTTACATGTGTGTCCTAATTTCCTCTTTTTTCCCCTCCAGTTTAATTCAGAAACAAATGTTATCTATCACCATATAAGTTTGATACACTGCATAATGGTTTGATTAACATATATTGTGAAATGATTATGACAATAGGCTCAGCTAATATCCAGCCTTCTGATGCATCTGTTTTGGTCTCTGAGGTGCTTCTAGAATTCTTTCAGTGGTGTCTTATTCTTAAATTGTCATAGTGAGGGGGAGCAATGATAGGAGTGACCTGTGTCATCTTGTTGACTTTCTCTGTCATTCACATATTTTATTTATTGATTTTCTATACTTGATAGTTTTTGGTATTATTTTGGTTTAGCTTCATATCTTGAGCCTCTCCCATGTCATTCTCACGTTGATAAATACAATTTCTTATGACTACTGGAAAATTCAAGTTTTCATTTTTCAGAAATGATAAGATTTACATAGATCTTCACCTGAGTTTCTGAGTTTTTTTAACTTCAGAATAGATTCATAAAGTGAAACTACTTAGTAAAATGGCGTGAGCACGTTTAAGGCTTGTATACATATAGTGAGATTTTTTTTTGGAATGCTGATACCAATTTAACTCCTGTATGTTACAAAATACACAAGACTTAAAGTAAAATAGGTCATAAAACCAAACCAAAACAAACCCTAGAAATCTGAATATAGAGAGGTTCCAGAAGAGAAGGGTGAGGTGTGAAAAGCAAAGGAAGGGTCGGAGGGTAGGGGGTGCTGGCACTCTGTAGTGGAAGATTACTGGTGTTGTCGTGGTAGGCATGGTGTGATAACTTATATTTGTAGAGGTTTCAAACTATACAACTAAAATATATACAGTGCTGTAAATCAGCGTTACCTCAGTAAAATAATAAATAAACAGAATAGGTCATATAAATAAATAAGAAAAAATGTTCCCATAGTAAATTGAGTTAAAAACATGAACAGAAAATTTAGTAAAATAAAATTTTAAATACCTATATAAACATATATGAATGATATAAAATCTCATTAGAAATGCAAATTATAATAATAAAATACCATTGTAATTATAAAACTTTTTTCTTTGAATGTATTTGAAGCTAAGATGTTAACACTTGAGAAAGCTGGGTAAAGGTAAAATTATTTCACAATAAAAGTTTTAAAAAATTTTTATTCATACAATGGTTGTAGGTACTTATTTGATTGTATGAGCCAGTATACTCTCAAAAATCTTACTTAAGAACATACCTAACTAGTTCTTCTGTTAAATATTGAAAAAACTAGCATTTGTGAGCAAAATATTTCCAATGAATACTCTCATTTTTTACACAGGTTTCTGAACCTGTTCCATATGTTCTATACTTTAACTCATTTAATCCTTTCTACAGTCCTAGAAAGTAAACAAATTATCATGCTTGTTTTACAGATGAGAAAACGAAGACTGTAAAATTGAGTAACTCATCCAAAGTTGTACTCTAAAATGTTTTAATTGGTTTCATTTGTAACATGTGTCCATTGGCAGAAATGGCCTACATTTTGGGAATGAATATTTGTCTATATTTCCAGCTGGATATGCTGTTCCCTTTCCAACAGATGAACCTACAGACATTATTCCACGAAGCTGCCAACTAACGACAGATGTTCCACAAGTCACACAGCTGCTAAATATGACTAAACTCCGCCAAACTGAAATAAAATTTGGAGGTCATCCTCTCAGTTCAGCAGAATCAGGTATGCACTCAGGCTCTTAAGTTATATTTGTTTGTAAGACCAAATAGGTAGAAAAAACATCTTTGCAGTGTTCTTTAATAGCTTGAGATTAAACATTGAGTCACTTTTACATTGACTTGTGTGAGTGATGACTCATTATTTTAAATTTCTCTTTGGTGACTAAAATATTTTTGGAAATTTTTACATGATAAACCAAAAGATTCTTGATTATTCCCCTCCTTTTCCTTTATGCCTCTAAATCCTACCATCTATATTGCCAAGCATCCCTCAGATGTGTCTCCTATAGTTTGTTGCTGCTTCCATTATTCGAGTCCCCACCATCATTCATATTATCTTTCTGTAATACAGATATGATCTTTAATTAATGCCTTTGCAATTATCTGAAGACAAAACAAAAAGAACCTTAGGAAACCACCCAAAGCCAACCTCCCCTATCTCAGCCTACTCCAACATTCCATCTCCAGACCTTTCTTCTCATTCCCTGGGTGTGATTTTTCTGACCACGCCATTGGTTTTCACATGTTCCTATCTTGGGATTTCTGGGTTCTTGTTTTGTTTTGTTTTGCTTTGCTTTGCTTTGCTTTGCTTAAAATTGCTTTCTTGCTTTTTCTGCTTAGAAAAATTCCTAATTCATCCTTCTAGATCAATTCAAATGCTACTTCTTCTATGCAGCCTTCTCTAATTCCATCAAACATTATTCTCTTCTTTCCATGACTTCCTTCCTTTACTCCTTCCTTCCTTTTTTCATTCTTTCTTTCCTCCCTCCCTGCCTCTTTACCTCCATTTCTCACAATACTTTATAGTGTAGATTACTGAATGAAGCATGACACTCTCTTGAGCTATACCTTATTCATCTGTGTCCCTGGCATCTAAAACCATTCATGCCATATGCCAGACCAGAGGCTGCAAACTCACATCACTGCAGAGGCCAGTCAGATAACAAGAATAATGTGGACCGGATGCCTGAATATTTAACATGGAAAAATATTTTCTGCTTCCACAGTGAGCCTAATTGGGAGTGGAGGATGTGGCTAGGTGAGAGTGGTAAAGTATTAAGCATCAAAGAGATTGTTCTCTCTACTATTAAAAGCTGTGCAAATGATATCATAAATGGCAGTTTACATTCAGCACTTATGAGGGTGCTATAGGAAGTGGTGAAAAATAAATTAGAGATTCATTCTCAGTTTTGAAAGGGTAGCAGCTTCAACCAAATATTACAGTCTCACCAGATCTTTCATTTGTTTTTCAAGAATAGCTAAGTATCCCAATCTTTATGATAAATCTCCCAATTTAAAAATATTGTCTTAAGTCTAAAGTTTCTTTAAACACTCGGTAGGCCAAACAAAACATCCAGAGCTGCCAGTTTTTCTAATAGACACCCATAGCTATTGATCAGATGAGTTAATAGTACTTACAACTCAAGAAACCTAAGGTTAGTTAGCTCACTAGTGCTCCAACCTTTATATGTTAGAATTACCTCAGACATTTAAAAATTTAACATGTACATTTTTTCCCAATATCTGTGTTCTATACCCAAAGATCCTGACTTAATTGTCCTGGAATAGAGTTTTCTATCCCTCCCCACCCCTCCAGTAATTTTAATGTGCAGCCAGGGCTGAAAACCACTGGATCACTTATCCCCACAAAGGTCGTGTGGTTCGGGTGACATTCATAAATACTGAAGTAATTCGGAGGAAGGTGAAATTCTGGTCATAACAGAGCATTTATGGAGGAGAGGTATATCTTGAAAGTATTCAATAAATACTTATATAAGTATCTATAATAAGTGAAAGATTTATAGAAGTGTAAGATGGTACAGAAAACTGAGCAGAGACAGCAGAATGAATGGAGAGTTTACTGAGGGATTACTGAGAGGAATGGTTGGAGTAGGCACAATGACTGTATTGCAGGAATACAAGACAGCGTGCCTTATGTTCCTAAAGCAGAGGAACAATGACTTTTTTTTTTTTAGAAAATTTGAATTTGACGTCAGAATTCAAGATGAACTTTTAAATCATTTGGCTAGAAATTAAGGGACACAACTAAGATGACTTTGAAGGAGTCTGGGCATAAATGAGAAGTGACTGTGAAAGTGAAAAGCAGTAACCCTAAGTGAAGCTGCAGAGAATAAAAGTGTGGCAGTGACCCTGTGAGAAACTGCAGGGAAATAAGTGTGATTCACAGATAACGCATGGAGAGAGAATGATCCGCATTATACCAACTGAGTAGAAACAGGAGAAAAGAGATAACCATGATAAAATTAATGAGTTTCAAAAGTGGACTCAGTTTTCCTCCACATTTGTCTGTTCTGTGTGTATCTAAATATTCTTGGTGTATCTTCTTTAACCTCCTATGATGAAATTTCCAAACTTACAGAAAAATAGGGAACCCCCATGTCCCCATCATTTCCACATTACCAACTTAACTTAGCATATTTTGATAGTAGCAGTGAAGGCCCAGGTTGTGAGAATATGTATATTTATTATGTGCAATATCTTTGAGAAGCAGGGGAGAAGAGAATATATACAATCCATGTTTGCTAAATTACATGAACGTACATTAAACTTTGTAGTTCTCTTTATAAAAATATGTTTCAATGGCTAACTTTGACATTTCTGAACTTTGAAATTCACTATCAATTAATATAATAATTATTGTTTTGTTTGAGATATTTTATTTGAAGGATATAGATAATGAATATGTATAGAAACATAGACTATAGATAAAAAATATTTAAGAGGATGAAAAATATGTCTTACTACCCAGACAACCACTATCAACACCTCGGGTCACAGTTCATTTTTTTTTTTAATAGCTTACATTTTTGTTTATTTTTTGTATATAATTTTTTTTTTATTTTTATATTCCCCATACAATTACAACCCCCTTGTTTTGACCCCAATCCCTCCCCTCCCCGCCCCCCACTCTCCATAGAGTGTCTCTGGTTCATAGTTGTTTGTTGATTTTGATTTTTACTTTCTTATATTCTTTTTCCTGGTCCCTTATTTAAGTTTTCTAGATTCCTGCTATGAGTGAGACCATCCGGTATTTTTCTTACCACAAAATGAAACGAGTAAGAGTCTTTTCAATAACCAAACACCATATCTGTATCTAATATGCTGTGATAGCAGTAACAGAAGAAATGACTAGTCTGTAAAGTCTGTCATAGAACTCTTTGTGATTATACATGCTCTTTTTTAAGTCTATATCCAGATATTTTAAGTCTTCATTTAATTTAAAATTCAAGGATACTTATAATGTCTGAGATTAAGGAATGAATATTAATTGCACCGTTAATTCAATACTATAATTAAACAAACTTTGTCACAGTTCATATTTCTCCCAACTTTTAGAATAGGATATTAGTGTATATTTTGCAAATTACATAAATGGGCTTTCAATGCATTTAATAGTCAACTTGAGGTATAAGTACAGAAAATTAATAATCACCATCTAATAGCATATTTCTTCTGTCCTGTGAATCCTAAATATATTTATATTAATTTGTAGCCACAGGGTTTATGATTACTCCTCTCAAGTAAATCGGAATTGTAGATGTATGGCAGCTAAAATTATGTCAACATACATTGAATTTGGTAGCTCTCTTTCTAAAAATACTTTTCAATTTCTAATTTTGACATTTGTAGGCTTTAAAAAATCACTATAAATGAATATTATAATTATTGTTCTCTGTGTAGGACATTTTATTTGAAAGGTGTAGCTAATGAATAATGCCCAAGGACAGACTTTTTAATCATGGAAATGCCATGAGTTATTTCTTTATTTGAATTATTGTTTTTGTGTCTTAAAAAGAAAAAAAGCAGGCTCCCCACGATGAGATTTGAATTGCATGAGAAAATGCTTTGTGTGTTCTTGTAATTGACTGTACAGAGCTCATGTAAATTGTGATATTTTATTATAAATGCACATATTGAGAAATCCCAGCAAAGCTGCTGCAAAAGGAAATAGCTACTTCCTATGGTTGCTTTCTAGTTTTCAAGCAAAAAAAAGAGATCTTGAAACTTCTGTTTTAGCGTGCATTTTGTTGAATATCCTATAATTTGATCAAGAACATTTAATGAAATGAATAAAATAATGCGTTTCAAAAAAGGATATGTAACTACACATTTACACTGTTCACTTTGTCAATTCCCAGTGCACATTAGCTAATGACTGTTAGTCTGCAAAGGGCTGTGGGTTCTGATGATATTTTCATTAATGGGACCTAGTTTAATTGAACCAGAGAATCAGATTTGTTTATTGAAGTTGAACATTCAGCTACTAATGACAAGAGGCAGTGGTCCACTAAGCACAAATCAAAACTAGTAATTTACTTAAAAATTAGAAGGCAGTTTTACTGAGTGCCCTCCTTCCCACAGCGGCAGTCTTACTTGATTTTTATTTCTTTTTAAACAAGAAGAGACTGACATCCCTATCCCTTAGCACAATCGCAAACAAGTAAATTGAGTAAATTGATGTACTTAGCATAAACCATGAAGTAATCATCTAACTATATTTGGCATTGACCAGATCCTTATTAGAATTTCTTCTTTGGGTTCCACATTATGAAAGCAAGATTCAAATCAAGGAACAAAATATACTCTAAGTAAAACCTAAAAGAAAAAGGAGTTAAATTCTGACTTGAAGGAGAAAAAACAAAACACCTTATTTCTTTTTTATACTTAGACTTTTGGTAAGCCTTGTCTCCAATTGTCAGTTAAAAAGACACCACACTTTCTCGTTCCAGTGTCTTATGATAATTCAAGATTAAATACAGCCACCTCTTATATTTGAATTATATATTCTCTTTCTCCATCTTTATGAAAATGAGGCATTACTGGTCATTTTCCTTCACTGAAGTTTTTTTTAATGTGAAAGGAATTCAGTATGGATGTTGATATCACAAGCCATTTGTTGAATGACATTAATTTTTGTGTGTTTTTTTTGCCAAATATTGAAAAAATTTACATATATGAATCATAATATTAAATATGAAGAATACACATAATCAGTTTGATAATTATGCTGTGTTTGTATGGCTGACTCATGCCAACCTTACATATCCTTTAGATGCCTATTGTGACATTGCTTGTAACAACAAAAACCTGGAGGCAACCAATTTGCTCATAGTAGGGATTTGATTAAATACCCAATACTAAGGTACTATGTATGCGGCTCTGTGGAGGACCATTTGTGATGGTCTGGAAAGGCCTAAAGAGCCATCACATTAAAAAATGGACTCCTATAAGGCTGTTTGTGCATGATCCCCTTGATGTAAATTAAAAAGACACTTACCTACAGATATCTGCATATACACACATTTAAGGAAACACAAGAAATTCAATAATTACCTTTGGGAAGAGGGACTAGTAGAGTCCCCAAAGACCAGATGCCAATTCCCTGTTAAACATATTTATAACTGGGCCTCCCCGGTGGCACAGCGGTTGAGCACTGGACTGCGAAGCTGCCTGCAGCCACTGCAGCACTGGTTCGATCCCCGGCCACCAGCGAGGGTCCCACATGGCGAGCCTGCTGCTTCCCCCAGCAGTGCCCCCCACCCCCGGCTGCCTGTTCTGCTCCCCGCTCTGACTCTGGTGAATTCTCTCACCCTTCCTCGCTTCCGACTGTACCCAGTGCTTGTATAAATAAATAAATCTTAACAAAAAAAAAATATTTATAACTATTTGAACTTTTTCTTCATAGGTCTTATCACATCTATAATCATGAAGCTATTTACAGATTATTTATTTTAATATCAGTCTCCCCCATGAGACTGTGAGCTCCTTGAAAGAGCTAAAGAGTCCTAACAGTGGCTGACCAAACTAGGTGTCCAAGTACTGCTGAATGAAAGGAGGAATAAAAGAATAAATGATTGAATGAACTATGTAAATTGTTAAGTGCTATGAAAGATAGAGAACAATAAGATACTTTCTAAGCATATATTCCCTAGTAGGCACAGAATTTAGCATGTTATGCACGTTGCTTCATATTAACTAACAAAAATGCCATGACTTAAGTACTGTTTTTAGCCCAGTCTTATGAAGAAGGTAAGTCTTAGAAAAGTACCAAGCTTATTGCTCTGCTAGATCAGACTTGTTAGTATCTTTGGCATTCTTTATAACAACACACATAATAAAATAAAAATTAATCCAGTTCAAAGTCTGGATTCTGGTAGCAGGTTTAATTTTTATTTTATTGTTAGATAATAGATGTAAGTCTTGAGCATGACCCTTCAATGATTAGAGTTGAAAATTCAGCAGGTTTTTTTGGTTGATCTTTGAAAACCCTGCAAATTTAAATGACTGTACTAATTAGAACATTGTATCGTGAGACAAAAATTAATGTTTATTTTTCTAAAAGACAATTAGAGAGTAAACCCTCAGGTTTTACAATCTAACTACAAAGGCATGTACCCTTCGGTAAAATAGCAAAATAATTAATGGTAACATCTCTGACCTACACCAAGTTCATTTTCCGCAAACTCAAGAAAATGAAATGCCTAGAGCATGACTTTAATCTTGATTTTTAACCTTATATTATGCATATTGATATCAGCTCTTAAAAGAACTCCTTTTAGAATTCAAAAGGCGTGCTTTTCTTCTTGTAGTTTTCTTTTATTAAGATTTTTCTCATTATAGAAACTTCGTCCCTTCTGCTTTTTTATTTTAGAAACCAAGGGTCTAAATTAATTTTCCCTGTAGGTTTTAATTGGAACCCTATTATAGTAGATACATAGCATGATACAGGTTTATAGAGGTGATTATAACACCATAATTATAAACAGAGAATTGTTGAAGTGAAAGAGACTGAAAGAATGTGTGTTAATTGTACTAACAAGTTTTAAAAGGTCTGTTAATTAAAGAGATACCAAAAATGGAGTACTGGTGTGCTTTGCTTTGTGAAAAAAAAGTGTACTAAAATTTAGAAAATTTTGACAGTAGAGTTAAGTTTAAATACACAATGGTAGATTATTAAGGAAATTTGATAGAAGATCATCCTATAAAATACAAAATAATATCTAATTTTTTATGACTTGGGGGATCATATTATATCAAGTTTAGGTGTATCTTTAATAGCAGTAGACATCCACTGCTAAGCAAGAGCTTCCTCCAAACAATTCAAATTATTTAAGAATTTTATTTTTATTAGTAACTATGAACTAAATAATATGTTCATTTTGTTGAAATTATAGTTAAATTATAGCTGATTAAAATTTTCCTTTTAATCTGGGGTATTAGCCATAATTTTGGTAGAATTTATCCATTGTCTCCCATGCTATCCTGGGTGCATCAGATGGGCCTAACTATAGTACTAAATAAATCATCTTTCTACTGAAAAGAACTTAATTAATTGAAGGCGATCTGCGTTGTAGACAAAGAATATAGAAAACAACTTCAAAGACACCAAAGATGGTGGAATAGGCAAAATTTGTGACTACCTCCTTTCATGATTGCAACAAATGTACACCTAAGTGTAGAATTATTTACTTAGAAGGGAACCTGAAATCTGAACAAATAGAGCTAACATGACAAAGGATAAAAAGGTAGCGCCCAGGAGAGTAACAGGGATAGAGACTCTCACCTAGTGGAGAAGAAACTCAACTAAGGGCACAATTGGGAAGACATTGCTAAGGTACAGAACATTTCCCAAGGAGGTGGAAGGAATGGGGGTAGGGTTGTGTGTAACGCCCAGCATCCCAACCCTATAGTCAAGCATAGTGGAGATGAGCCTCTGAAACCCTTCAGTACCCACAATTGAAAAGAGAAACAACAGCCTAGGTCACAAAAGATACAACTGATGAGTCCGTAATAGATTATTCCAACTGACCTGGAATTTGGGTGTTGTTTTTTTCTGTTACTGATCCTGACAGACCACTAGTATTGTATTTTCCCAAAATTGATATTTATAAATCAATGGGGAAAAAAATCCAGGTGTACACATAGCCACGTCTGCTTGCTAACACTAAGAAAATCACATGTAACCATATAGGCCTCTGATTGTGGTGCCATAGCACTGTTGTGTTGAAAGCCTCACTGTTTATATAAATATTGATGTCCTGTCATTGATGACCCTCCACTCTCATCACCTACATTCTGTCAGCTCCCCAGTTTTGTCTTTGTCCTCAATTCACACAAAAAGCCTTCAGGTGTTTTTTTCTTAAAGTGAAATTCTCATCAAAGTTAGAAATATTTAGTCATTGAATTCAACTTCCCTCCCAACTCATTACATTCAATGGTTCATTTTGCCCAGCAGTGATCAATTGTTCCTACTCTGTGTTGGGCACTGGACTGGGCACCAGCACAAAAGTTGACGAGCAGTCCACTGAGTGTAAATCTACTGAAGTATACGTTATCAGAGCATTCCATAAACACACGTAAAATTGTAATTCTAACAAGTTCTGTGAAGGAAAGGTTATGGGAGTATCTGTACTGGGGAAACTTAGCCCAGTCACAAAGGTCAGGGAAGATGTGTCTGAAGAAGGGAAACAAGAGCTGAAACATAGAGGCCAAGAGGGAAAGGAAGAGCCTTCTGGCTGTGGGGAATAGCGTGTACAAGTGTTCAGTAGGCAGGAAGAACTGAGAAGGCCAGTCTAAGTGGCCTTCTCATTTTCTTCCATCTCAAAGTGAGATGGAAGAAAATGAGAGGCTTAAGATAAGAACTGAAGCCAGAATAGCATCTTCATGCACGTGATGCTAAGGCTTTTCTTAATTTTAAGAATTAAGTGGGGGAGGCACTGAAAATTTTGTGTGTGGAAAGGGAATGACTCAAACAAATTTATGTTTGTATAAGACTGTTCAGGCTACATTTTGGAGAAAACAAGGGCCAAAATAGGCAGTAAATCACTTAGACTTTGATATCATCTATGAGAGGAAATGTGCTTGCTGGGACTGAGTGCTGGTGGGAAAGATGGAGAGAGAGAGAAATATGGAGAGGGTGGGGGATCGAGGATGACCCCTGGATTCTGGTTTTTCAAACTGCATGGATTATGGGGTTACTCATTAGGACAATTTTCAGGTGATGTGTCCTCGAGCCATCTACTCTACAAGGAGTAGAGCTCAGTGTAGAGGACTAGGCTAGAAATGGAAATGCTGTCGTTTCCCCAAAACCTTCAGTCTCCGTTGCCTAGGTATTTAGCATTCTGGGGCTCTTTTCAATGAGTCTAGTCTGCCTTCCATCCAAACTGGTCATTTCCTCACTCTCCTAGTCCTTTACTCGGGTGCATTTTTCTGGGACACCATACAGCTTTTATTCTTGAAATCAGTCACTCAAGGTCCATTCAAGAGGTCACTAATTCTTCATTCTCACTGATCTGCCTTATGGTATAGTTGCCTGTTTGCTTTTACTGTCACCTCTCTCCAGACTCTCTCCGGGGAAGCAATATATCTAATCTATTTGTGTCACAGACAACCTCTAGAAAATGCCCAAGGCAGTGCTTAATCAAGTATGTGTTCAATAGAGTTGAATAGTTTTATTTGTTATGTCCTTATGAAGAAATATATGCATTTTAGTAGTTTTTCTTTCTCTCTTTTTTTAATTTAGAAAAAACTTGTATCATAGTGGTTCTCAAATGATTTTAAGAATCACTTGGGGAAACTTGTTAAAAATGTAGATTTCTTCCTCCATTCCCAAGATTCTAATTTTACATTTCTAACATTGGACCCCAGTATGTGCATTTTTACCAGTGCCTAGGGGCAAAGGGATTTAGATCATATGACACTTAGACTCACTTTCAGAAATATGGCAGCATGGTGTTTGCATTTTGCCCACTAACGAACTGTTAATGTCTTCCTTTAACAAAATAGATCAATTCATAAACAGAGGAACGAGTGGTGTGCGGAACAATAGAAGTCAAGATGTTTGTCACATTGCCTTTGGATCCAAAGTTCTTGGACCACCTCCACTCTCTGGCAGAAGGAATAACTTGAGGATGTCCAGTGAGGTAGGAGCAAGGCTTTAAGAGCCAATCTAAGCTTGAATGGCATGGTAAGCAAACAGATTTTTTTCCCCATGGAGAGGAAAAAGAGACACTATATGCCGAAGGCAAAAGAACTGAATAAATTTGGAACAGAAAATCTATATTTTAAAAGACCTCAAAATTGTTTCCTTTTTGTCATATCAACATAATTAACATTTTTGAGTACTCTTTTCATTAAATATGTTCACAAAACTTAAAAGCAAATATAGATGAGCAAATTTTGTGGGCTCCTTCAAAAAGGAGTTGGATCATCTCCAGACACCTTACAATGAACAGATTCTCAAATGTTATATTTTTATTTTTAATTTCTCCTGAATTTCTGACATACACAGTGATTTTTCAGTACAACTCCTACCTGCTAAAGATGAAATATAGCAAATAAGCACATTCAATTTATGTGTCTAGAAGACTTGCTAGTCTTCTATTTTATCTCACAATTTCTCCTTCCTTTTTCTAATTTTCTACCAAAATTGCCCTCTCCACCAACTTTTTTACCTTCTGTTTTTTTTTCCCCACTCATTTGTCCAAATATTGTTTCTTCCATGTATAGTCTGTGGGAAATAAATGTAATTCCTATATTTTAAAATGTATGTATTAATTCCTTTTCCTTATAGACAATAAAATCTGTTGGGTCTAAAAATAACCGATCTTGCCAGCAGTCCACTGCACAAAAGTGTGAAAACAGTGCAGAGATGTCAACCTTGCTGTCTGAGTCTGAGGAACAAGGAGATAAAGAAAATATTCGCCAAATAAAGCAGACTGTACCTATTCATGGTAAGAAAGAATCCTGCATAAGGATCGGTAGCTAGTGAGAGTAGCGAGAAATGTTCTTAAGATAAATCCAAAACTATGTATCTATTTAAAAATGAAAAGACTGCTAAATATTAAAATATATTTAGAATTTTCATATGTATGTTATCTCCTAGAACCTGTCATTGTATTTATTTATTTCAAATTGCTATAGAAGCCTGTGTTTTTATATACTTTATGATGACAAGTAAAGAAATAACCTAATGGCTATTTTATAGATTTAATATTTATATTCCAAAATGGTATTTTGGAAACTCATTTTAGGTTTTTTTTTTAATAATTTTATCTTTTAATTAATCTCTTCCATTTGTAAAGTGCTCCTTATTTTCTCTCACTGAAAATAAAGATATTTACATTTTATTATTATATTATAAAGCAACCCTGTTGGTTAAAAAATACTTTTGTCCCATTTTGTATCAATAGATTGAGAGTACAAGGTTAACTAGCAACAGAGAGGTAAAGTGATGTACAACTTGTAATCATTGGAAAGAATTGAGGCCAGAATCCAAGATTTACTACTCCCTGTCAGTTTTTCCCCTCTCACTGGTCTGATTTTTGTGAGAGAGTTGGCAAGGTGTGGGGAGGGTATTTGAGTTCATTTTCTTGAATTCAGAAATTAATGATCACTGTTACAGACTATATCTCCCATGGAGTATTAAACTGAGATGAGAAAATAAATAACAGCTCTATTACTATGAGACTTTGAACAAGTTTCTCAAATCCTGTCTGTGAGCCTCATTTTCTCATCTGTAAAATGGAAATATAATTATTACTGGCACTAGTATGAGTAAAACATAACAGCCATCTCAAAGTGTCATTATGAAGGTTCAGTAAAATAAACCAGTACAACGTATCATATTGTGCCAAGAAATTAAGCATTCAGTAAATGTTAAACGCTACTCTGATGATGATGATGATGATGATGATGGTTTAAATTATACTTACGGTTCTTCTCCAGGTTTGCTTTCAGTTCAATAGGATTCTTTTGGAAACTGCTCTCTACGTTCTCAGTGAAACATTTTTAACTATACTTACTCTTCCAGAGAAAGAAATATTGTTTTATATTGACTGTCAATTCTATTTTTTTATGTTTTGAGATAGCCTGTTGCATGATTAACATTAATCAAATTGCTTGTAACTCTCTCTAAGGTTATTTACATTAATAAAATGTACTGGTAAGTTTTGAAAGTCTGATAGACTACTAATATTAGAATAGGGATAAACATACTTCCTAAGAAGGAATAAATTGTGTCTTTGATACAGCTTTACTTTATGTCAGGATGGCACATGAACATTCTCATTATAGCTATAATTGTATTTACTGAGTTATTTCAAACCATATAGTACTTTCTGTTCTGGCTTTTTGTTCTTTAATATGAAAATGTACCAGCCAATCTGCATCCACATCCCCCTCAAGAACCATCAGCAGATAAGAATAACAACAGGAGAAGATTACGGTTAAAAAGCACCAGCAGAGAAAGGACAGAGACACCCAGCGGTATGGCACTAATTCAATACTATCTTATATCTGTATATTATTCAGAGCAATGGGATCTCTCTCTGTAGGTTATAAATTTCAAAGGATTATGAGCCAATTCATTTAAAATATAAATGTCTGTTCTACAGGGATTATGGAAATCAAATTTTCTGCAAAAGAATTGCTCTAAAGCCCTAACAGAGATTTGCCAGATTAAATAGAGAGCACAGAAATAAAGGACTTCCTATTTTTACTTGCAAAGACTGAAAAAGTTCAATTATTGTGGTTTTTTTTTTTTAAAGAGCCAAATTTGATAGCGGAAGTTCCTGCCTACAGACTTCACTAAAATTGAACTTACCTCATAAGTTTCTATATTTCATTATGTCTCTGCTTTTTAAATTGGGCCCTTTTCAATCTGTTTTTTTTTTACATTTGCTTTCTCTCCCTTTGGACTCTTGGCCACCTGCTCTAATGTAGGTTGAAATTTAAACTCTTTGCAATCAGTTAAGCTTTAAACAAATGTAGATGTCTATTATAGATACTTATTTAAATATTGGATTTGGGATAAATCTGCATAGATTTGTATATACCTACATTGTTAGTCTATCCTGAATCAAGCCCAGAGTACATCATGTACATATCTGTTAGCATAATTTCTCCAAAATGTAGGGCTCTTGGATAGGTTGAAAGTCAGCTTGCTGAGTTTCATGTTATTTTTATAAAATACTAAATAGAGAAGTTCATTCTGTAGTATACCTGTGTCTATTTTCTTTAGATGCTAAAGGAAAAAGCTTGGCTTCAAAGAATCAGATTTAGTAAGAATTGGAATTTAAAGAAAACACTCCATTGTAGGTGCTTGGAACCAAAGAAAAAATATAAGACTCTTTAAAAATTATATGGGTTTTATAATTCCTTTTATCACACAGTATAAACCTTAAATCTAAACTATCCCCATGAAAATATCAAGGAATTTAAGATGAATCTCTAAAAAAATGCATCTTAAACATAATACTGAAAATTATATTGTCATTTATATGTGTGTGTGTGTGTGTGTGTGTGTGTGTGTGTGTGTAAGCTGTATTATCACCTCTAACATACAGGGAAGTTTACCAAATTAATACCATTCTTCACAAATTAATTTTTATAATTATCAAAACAAGTAATATAGTGGAAAACATTTATTCTAATAAAGGCAGTTCTTCAGGACATAACAGGAATGAAGATAAAGCAACAACTGCCCTCACCACTGTGTTGCAACAAAGAGCAGAGACGTTGAACCCTAGCATTCCAGCACCCCAGTCTCCTGATCAAGCAGGTTGGCATCTTTATTATACCATAATTGCTAATAACGGATATAAATATGTTAAAATATCTCAAACCCAGTAAGTGAATAGTTACCATCTAGTCATTTGCTAATCTATCACTTTTTGTAAATCTCCTTTCAATTTTGATTTTTATGTCAAATTTTAACGGATGGAAGAGTGTTCTTACTTTCAAATTTTATGACATTGGTTTTCCTACTCTGCAAAAAGTTTAAAACTTCGAAGTTTTCACATGATAATGTCCCCCTCCCCAATATCTACTGTTGCGTTTCTCCAGTATTCTTTATAATAGAGATGGCTGGAGTGTAGAACATCAAGCCCAGCATCATATCTTGCCTAGCAGGTGTGTGGTACTTTCAAAACAGCAAATTGTTTTTGAGCAAGGGAAAAAGGAAAATAAATGAAAATTGTTTGTAGTTTGTCAGTCTTATTTATGCAATGTTGAAACCTTCATTAAAATGTTAGGCGCAATTAGTGTCTCTAGCATAAATCTGACTGTGTAGAAAAACTAATTAGATGTTTAGGTGATCATTCTTGCATTTATCTTGTTTGCTGCAATATTGTGATTACACAGTAATTTACATATTTTCCTAAGAAAACACACCAAATTATTCATTACAATTGATATGAAAATACTTGAGGTAGAACTATAAATTCCAAAAAAGCATGTGAATGTGAGATAGAGTTTGTTTAGTTTCTTTCACCTTGACTTTTTGACAGTTAATAATATGTTTGGCAATAGGTCATACAAGTTGTGTAGTTGCATAATGAAGATTCCCAGTAACTTTTTCTTCAAAATCTGCATGCCCATATGCATAATGCAACACATTAGTTTTTATCATTTCTAATATTTATGAAAGCACTTACCATATTTGCTAAGCACCTGCTATGTGCTTAGCACCACAGGGGTTACTGTCCAAAAGAGGACAGCCCAATGAATCTATTCATTTCCCCTGCCCTCAACAATACTGTCTCAGGAACCTCCACATCCTCTGTGAAGGTTGTCAGATGAAATAGACTCAGTGTACCATTGACATTATGGGCATACCTATATAATCTGATCCTAAAAATATGAAAACTTTGTCCCTAAGGATTTCTTTAAAAGTATACATTTATTATCCTTTTTGTCAGCAAATTATAGTCTATGATTGTCCTAGGTTAAGAAACAGGTAAATTATGATAAATAAAATTTCATTTGTACATCAATGTTATTGTCGTTGAAGGTGCTTTTGTGTTGCTTTTGCTTTGGTAATGTAGCCTTTAGAGTTCCAAATTAGGTACCTTTTTCTTTTCTTGTGATGATAAATATAATCAGATACAATAGTCCAGCATAAAATGACTGCATCCACATCATGGTCCTACAGAACACAGATTCTTGTAAGACATTTACATTAACATATTTGAGCAAGTGAAAGTAAATTTCAAGAAAAATATCGATAAACTAAGTTGAGAAAATGCTAAACTTTTTCTTACTGTCATTTTAAAGAAGAAAGTGAGCCTACTTTTAATGATATTGATTATAAAGATTTGTGCTTTCTTATTTGCCTGGGTCAGAGTTATAAAATCTCTCTCAGTGTTGAATAGAAGATTAACATTGTTGAAAGTTTTGACAAATGTATCTCAGTGATAGCATATGCTATTTTTAAAGAAAACAATTAATGCTGTGCAAAACAATCTTTTTATATCAAATCATTCTCTTCTAAAATTAAGCATAAAATCTTTTTCACCAGATCAATGAATTCACCAGTCACATTAACAAGTATTTCTGTGGATTTACTGTTACTTGAAAAGTCTACTCAGTTTAGTCTGTGAATTATCCTGTTTCAGTCAGGATAGGAGAGAAAAAGGAGAGAAAAAGACTCAACCTTTTCATGGTTTCCTCTCCTCCATGACTGGTAATTTGAACAATGCCCAGATAATTTGTTTGAAGAAACTTGTTAAGGACTCCATCTTCCTGTAGTTAAAAGAAGATATTAATACATCAACCCCTTTAAAATTTTGAAGATTTTCCCCTTCTGAAATGTCAAATTAATGAGGCTGTGCTATAAGGAACTTGCTGCAAAACAGGTGATAATTATTTCAGACTTGAATTTCCTGGCCAGTGTTACAACTCAGATGCAGAAGTGCAAATGAGTTGCCCGTAGCTATAGACACTGATTTATGAGTTAAATATTTGGCAGCCTACAAGATGGTGGATAAATTGCCTTCCTTGGCTTTTACATTATTTGATAAATCTCTAGTTCAACAAGAAATTTTAACCTAACTACATGCCTAAAATAACATTTACAGAACACTGCTCTAATTTTTTTCATCTTTTCCAAATGTCAGATGAGTGGATATTTCCTGCAAATGATGACCACATTCCCCATTTGGCATCCAGCAGACAGTCTTTACTTCTGGATGATGATTCCCACCAAATTTCACACCTGTGGCTAGAAGCCAGCCAGGAAAGTGAACATGACCTTCAGAGAGAAGACACCCAGATTGTTCCCAAGGACATTTTCACTTTTTCATCAAGACCACGATCAGCACCTCATGGAAAGACACAGAATATGTCCCCAGAAGGCTGTCCATTTATTTTGGATCTGAATGAAGATACCAGTATAACAAGAAGAGACACCCAATTGGAGAAAGATCTTTATGGCAGTGACAGCAGCGAAGAGGTACACTGCTTGATGAGTGAAGTAGCTTTAAAGCAGAGTTGTTCTATTAACTCCAATAAGCACTAAAACTAGTTGAAATGAAAGAGGGGAAATCAACTGCTATTTATAAAAATGCAGCAGATTGCAGTGTCAGTCAACAGTTGCTTCAGGTTGTTATGGTAACTCTAAATTGCTGCCTTCTTTTATTAACAGTCAGCCAATTTCATTTTTAATTATGGAAACTCGTTTTTGGTTTGGTTTGTTTTTCATTTTAATCTTTGTCTCACAGAATGAGAACTAATATACAGTTTAGTTATAAGAGAGCAAGACGAGTAAAGCATTGAGACCACATTGTTCTAGATCTCTGGGGAAATTGTATTGCAGTTGCTAAGCATTCTAAATTGACGGTTTTCTGGCTCCCTTACTCCCCTGCCATCTTTTCACCTTAGACCTATTAGGACTCATTATTTTCCATATGGTCCCAGAATTTCAAGCCTTGTGCCAATTAAAGTTTAGATAATGATTATGGCTTAGTGCCGGGACTCGCCTTACAGTAGGTTTTTTGTTTACAGTTTTTTAGAATGCAAATGTGTCTTATAAATTAATAAATTCATAAAAAGTTTAGGAAAACTTATTTAAATCAAACTGAATATATTCTGAAACATTTGTTTTAAACAATACATTAGGGTAACTCTTTTTTGCCCAATGAAATGAATTTTTGAGATGGGTATTCAGATTTTCTAGGAAAAATAATTACTTTAAAGGCAGATTACAGTCTAGTTATGGTTTAACAGAATTATACAAATCATTTCCATGTAGAAATTTTAGAAATAATTAGAAAAACATTTTGTGTATGCTTACAAAACTTTTTTTTAATAACTATCACTGATCAATTTTTATCCCCCTTGGATAGTGGGATGTAGATTAAGTCCATAGCATCTACCTTCAGAGCCAGTGAGAATATGGTGATTTTATTCAGGCAGTAATTGTGGTTTTTTACAAATTCAAAGAAATTTCTTCCCTGAAGTATCTGGAGAGATCTTTTTTTCATAGTAACCTTGTTTCTGAGTGTGATGGTACTATTAGACATACCAAACATAAACCTACTACTAACCTCTTTATGATGCCAGCATTTTAAATTTTGCTGTGGACATCTTTGTTCACTCTGAGTAACATTAATATTTGTCTTCAACATGTAGTATTGTTCCCATCCCAGTTGTCTATTATTCTACAGTATTAATTGGCTCATATGATAAACTAATTCCTATCTTTTTGTTAATGGGACAAAAAGATCCCCTTCCCGTGCACACAGTGCTATCTCTCTTACCTAAGCCAAATGAAGTACTATATTGGTGGAAATTTTATAACAGGAAGGAAGTGGTAGGTCTCTGAAAAACTGCGAGGGAAATATTATGGAGAAACTGTCCTTTGAATAACCAGACATGAAAAACGTACCTCTTTCATCTGTGTGAAGGATAAGCCTTGACAGGAAGCAATAGAGTTTCATGAGAAAATGAAGTCTAGATTCTGAATGTTTTCATTTGTTATCACTCTATGTGCTCCTCGCTACTCTGTGTGCTTTTTGCTACTAGCTACTCTATTTCTGACATCCTTCAACAATTATGATGCAGACATATACTTATTACCACCTATATGAAATTCAAAATAAATTTATCATCCATTAGCCAGTTCTCGCTAGCATAGCTATCTGATCGCCCCTGTGCCACGACCAGCAGAATGACCAGTAGCATGTGGCTGAGTCTCTTATGACACCATCTCTTTGCTAATACCTGCCCTGGGCAACTTTTAATCAGAGAGACAGCCAGAAAGAAGGGCAGATGCAAGTTTGGGAATTTACTGTTAGAAACAATAATGAGATACATATGAAAATATAAAACTATAACCAATAAAAATGCCAGACTATCCTTAAACAAGTTATAGAATTTTTAGTCAAATTATAGATTTTTTAGTTATCTCTTCCTTATCAAATTGAGTTTTGCTTTTGCTTTTTTGTGGGGTTTTTTCATTCTTTTTCAGTAAAATTATTTCTCCTGCTTATTGTTTTAGTCCGTAGGAAATAAGATTGCATGTGTAAAATATTTCTTTGCATATAGTCTTTGAAGAAAAATAAATTTAGTTGATTTAGATGTCCTTATATATTAGTCACATTATTTTAGAATGCTATAGCCTTAGAATAACATAGTTTAAGGAAAACATAATATGTTATAAGTAATGATGGACAAATGAGTAGTAATTACATTTTTTATTATGCTTGAAGTTTATAACTTGTAGTTAAAAGTCTTTATCTGATATTACACCACTGAGTATTTTTAAATGGAAATAAAGCATATGCAATAGCGTATAAACTAGGCAAAATCAAATCACATTGTTATGATAAAAGAATATTGCATGTATAATAGTAAAGGCTAATTAAAATAAGCTTTCAGCGATACATTGTAATTTAAGTTGCTAATAATTAATTCACATCTGAGATCTTCATTAGTGTGAAAGCCTCAAAAGTATGAATTGTTTTATACATGTTCTTGTCTTAATCTTTATTTTACTATATATTTTATTTTATTACCCAGGCAGTCATATATACTAATATTGCCTGATAATTAATTTATAATTCTTATTTGAAAAGCATTCTATGGCAATATATTTTGTGGTGAGCTGTAAAAATCAATGCTACCATGTAAAATGAATTATCTTAGCAAAGCAATTAAAACAGTGCCTTTCACACTATTGCAGCATCAGAAAAAAAATACGCATGTTAATATCAACTTTATTTTGCACTTTATGCTATTATTCTCAACGTGTTTTCCAGAATATATACCTGGTTTGCAACTTAAAATAGTTACCTTTATATTAATTTTCTTACTCCTTAGTTTAATTTTTCATCTAGAAACACTGTCATTTTTTCCCCCTAAACTCTGGCACTGTATAACATACAGAAGCAGATATTTGCAAGTCCAGGTAATTTGTCTTGCGTAACAGCCCAAATTGGAACATTTGAGCCAAAAAATTATCCATACTTGGACATAAATTATGTGAACTGACTACCCGGTGTGTTCAAAATAGCTAGGAAGCGTCCTGATCTTCTCTCCATCTAACTCTGGAGGACTGCAAAGGACACATTTACAAAGAACAGATTAAAAGGACTATCTGTGTTCATCCTCCCTCTAAGCTTTCCCACCATTGTTGCTTTCGAGATATTTTTTTTAACTCAGTAATTAAGCTATTTCACTTCATTTTTTTCCTGGTAGCATATATTCATGGGTTATACACCAAACCTCTCACCGTTACATATGACTAATGATTTTGAATTACTTTCTCTAGCACACTTACATATAGAAAATAGAAAGGATATTTCCTCAATATGAAGCTGTTTATATGTCTGTATTTAAAATGTTTAAATGTCAATTTATGCATTAGAAAAAAATGGAAGGACTCTACATTGAAAATATTATCTTGCATTTTTATTCCTGTATATTGTAATTACACTAACAGGGAAATTTAATATTTATTCCAAGTAAGTAATTCTTTTAGTTGGTTGACATCTGTGTGTCTTTATTATTATTATTTGAATTTCTGCTCTCTGAAAAAGTCACAGGCCCCTTGCTTCCTGTGATTTGGCTTTTTGTTGCTATAGGCAAGTAACGAAAATGTAAAATGCTTGTCTGCTGAGAAGAACATTCTATCACTTTTGCTAATAGATAAGCATCTTGCAGATAAATATTTGGTTGTGGATAACAGTTTTCATAAGAAATATTTAAAGTGTTGTCAGTTTTAAAAGCTCGAAAGCTAAGTTATAGAAAAATATCTTTTAGGCTTGGATAATTAAAGGAATGTCATCATTTTTCCCCAAATATTCACGTGATGATATTTGCCCACCCCACACAGTCCCAGTAACTGCTGCTATGATTTGTCTGTGAAGCATCATTGACTACAGGTAAAGACATTTACAAAAATAATGTTCCCTACTCCTTAATATGCTCCTTTTATTAGCATGCTGCCGGTTAGTTACTTATTAGAAACAGTCATATCTCCCTCTCATTTTATTAGTTTATAAACTTGTAAAATGCATTATAAGCCACCATTATCAATCTTGGCCACCCAGAGAGCATTGTATTTTAATAGTTTCCTATAAATTTCATGAGGAAGAAGTAGAAGTATTCTTGAGGATAGTTCTTAGTGAAGAAATTTACATTATATTTGAATGGTCCATCTTGTTATCAAAGAAGGAATCATCTTTTCATTCTATTATGACCAACATCTTTAACTCTATTTATGCAAATAACTTTTTTAGTTGTCAACAGATTTACCAATATCATTTCTATTTTCCAATGGTGCTGTTGTTCACCTAAAAAAATGCTGTCAGTTTCTACATTTAGTTACTAAAACACTGGATAAAAATTCCTGCTGACTCGATCTCAATTACAAATTCAAACTGCCATCAAAAATGTGTTTAGAATATTGCAGATGTGTTTTGTTACAGAACTTTTAATAATGTTGTATAAGATCTTTTTCACAGTGAATTGAATTTAAAAATCAATTGAAATATAAATGAATATGATCATGCACTCTTTCAAAGACTAAAACAGAGTTATATCCTAACTCACTCAACATTAAAGTTGGGGTACAAAGAGCCCGGGTCCCATCTGCTCCAAGTAGGTGGCCCTCAAGAGTCATTAAAATTTTCTTTTTAAAATTACAGCTCAGCAAGAGCATTCCATTTTGTGCATCAAGAAATTATTGTCCAAATGCCCATCTGCATGTCCTTTTAAGAAATGTAGTTCAACAGAGGAAGTGCTGGCTCCTTGGGGAAATCATTCTCATCTTCAGTGTACATATGCTGTGCTACAGTTAATCAGGCAAATTCTATTGATGTTCCTGGCACTGGGGCGTGATTGAATATTTAACAAACAAATGTTTCTGAGCCCAGAAGACAAACGGTTCAAGAGATTTGGGACTTTTTAAAATATATATATTACTTTTAAATCAAAAGCATTTTGTATTTGTTCTTCTGAGAAACAGATGAACAGATGATTGGAATGTGAAATTAGCATGACAGTTTCTGTACTATTCCGACAAATTAATTCAATTGCTGTACAGGTTTTCAGTAGCGAAATACTAAACCAAAGAGGGAGAAGTGGTTGTGGTTCAATTAAATCATAGTAAGCTAACTTCTTATGCATATAACAAATGCATATGTTATATATAAAAAATTAACCTAAAAGCATTTGAGCCCAGTTGAGTTACACCTGTGAAACCAATAAATGTCATCCATATTTGTATCATCTATTTTAGTAAGGTAAAAGTGTTACTAACAAAAAGAATAGGGTTTTGCCAGTATACCATTCCTAGTAAATACTGTACCATTTTTTATTCTCCATTTATTTCCTCTCTGAAAAAGAAGCTGACCCAACTTAAATCAAAATATTACTCTCATGTCATCTTGCCTGTCTCATCATTTTTCCTTGTTTCCCTTGTAGGATCTGGGATAAATTGGAATTAGTGATTTTGGGATAGGCAGAGTAGACAAGCCTTTTATACCTGATGCAGATTTTCTAGCTATTTGTCCTTTCCATATATTTAAAATAGCATGGAAACATATTATCATGAAATGCACTATAACCAAGTGATTACTGACCAGGGAACACAATTAAATCTGTCCATTTTCTTGGTCCATCTCCAAAACGGGTATATCTTTGGACAAAAGAATAGTATTATGAAACTTCTTAAATGACAATTGCTGCTTTCTGTCTTATCAAATTATTACTTTTGTAGGTATCTGTCCATGTTCTTTATGCCTTTAAAACTTTATGTCTTTTAAGAGCGGTGTCTGCATTCTTCTTAACTGTGCCTCAAAAATGCTTTACACATAGCAGGAGCTTAGTCAATATTTGTTGAACTAATATTTATTACAAAATCTCTTAGTTTCTGCCTAGGTCATATACAAAATGGAATCCTAGAGTGATCCAGAGATTCTGGCCCAAAGAATCACAATCATAACTTTTCTACTAAACCAGCCTATTTTTAGAGCCAGTCTGTTTTAAATCCACAGTACACATCTTTATTTTTAATTATGAAAATATGATGGAAATGAGTAAGTAGAGTATCTTTTCGTCACAGAAATTCTACTGCCAATTGTATATGACAATTATGGGAAGTCAAGCTGGATTTTTTTTTTTTTAAGTTGGAGAAGAGATAGCCAGAATGAATTTTTAAAACTCTATCCTAGCTGTTTCAATGCCTTTTTAGAACTAAAAATGGAGGATGATCTCTACTTACCTTCTGTAGATGAAACTAAGCTTTTTTATCTCTGTGAAACAAAAATTTCAGGAGTCATCACTCCATCCCCTAGTAATTTAGAACATGAAGTATTTTTCAGGTCTCTGGCACTTTTTCCAGTTTTCTGCTCAATTGTTCTTCAATGGTATGAACATCCTCAGGATTCCCAGACTTATAGTGAAGGTGAGCTCACTCAGAAAAGGGCACACATATAGCAACATACTTGTTGCCCGAAGCCTGCAACTGAGACCACGTAGTACAGTTGAAAGGGCAAAACTATTCTTACCCTTCTTACTTTTTCACTTGGGACATAAAATAGGCCCATGGATTGATACCAAATCACCTTCACTCTCTCTGGTCTCTGAATATAAGTTTCACCATCTTTTTTTTTTTTTTTTTTGGATAACATAAAAAGAAGGGAAATGGGTTTTAATCAGATTCAAAAAAGGATTAGACATTTTGGATGATCAGTATCACCATCATTTTTAAAGAAAGATATTTATTAGGTCAAGCCAACATAGACAAAAATACAGCCCCAAATGAGTACATGAAGAATGTTCATAGAAAATGTTCATAGGCAAGCTGTTTCTTAGGAGAGATTCTAAAACCAAGTTCCCGAGCACAGCTATCTGCTAATCCCACCGACTTTGCACAAAAGGGAAAATCATAACACCACAAGATTAGGACTCTCAGACTCTATATAAGAGGTTTTCAAAGTCCCTGAGTACAGTGTACTCTGCCTTCTGGAGACTTCTCAGATCAGCCTAGCCTCTCCATCATCACCACCATTGCCTTAACTCAGCCATCTGAGGATCTATAATAACACTATAATGGTCTCCTAAGGCCTCCCTTTCTCCAGTCACCACAATCACACCAGATACCCCACACACAATATCCACACAAACTCACACCTTTGTCTTCTCTTCTGTGCCATGCTGGCATTCCCCTGCTTCTGGCCACTCAGTGATTCCTCATTGCCTCAGGGACAAATCCCTGAACAGCAGGGACTATGTTCTGATCTACCATTATGTTCTCCTAGAATCTGTAGCCCTGGAGCTATAGCTACCCCCAGGCATGATGAAGATAGGAAGTGGCAGAACAATGATAGACACATAGGCAGTTTGACCCCTTCCGATTAAAAATTTTAATTAATTCCTCCGTGTGCTGTGTCCAACCTAGAACAGGCTTTCTCACATTTACACACATTTCACTTCTTTGAAAGGGGAGTTCTACCTTATGTAGTGATCGGTACATTGAGTATGTACGATGGCGAGAAATGCAGGAAGAAATCGAACAGTTCAAAGTTTAAAAATACCCAACTTTGCATGTTTGGTTCTGTGTAGCTATATATAAAAGGATGGGGGAATAGCTTCCTGAAACTGATTATAAAATATACATCATCAGACATCAAATGACTTTAAAATTTACTTTGTTTTTATTGATTTTTTTCTATTGTAAGTTTATCATTTTAACATCCATTTATTTATTACATGTTAAGTAGAGGAGACAAATTGAAAAAGTGTGCAAGCAACACTTTAAATTTATTACTTGATAGCAGAAAAATCTAACAACTGAAATAGATTTCTCATTTTCATTATTTACCCCCATGGCCATTGATTTTATGTAATTCCTTCTTCTTTGGGTTTTAAAATTTTAAACTTTTGCTTGCTTACAGACAATCACAGAAAAATGTACTTGTAAAGTTCTAGCTTTGACTTTCAGCTTTTCAAGAAATTATAGTTAATGAGAGTCATATCTTATCAAAAAATACTTTCTATAATTGAAATTCTCATATAAGAAAAATAGTTTACCAAGCATATCCTGCTATCTATTGCTCATGAAGAATAAAACTGTCCTATAATAATATCAGGCAAAAATACTTTATAGGCCCAATTTTTTTTTTAAGGCTGAAGAAAGTTATCTTTTATTGAGAGATACATGAAGAAGAGGAGCAGGTTTTGGGGGGCATGGAATAGGGATTTCATTTTGACACACTAAAATTATATATATATATAATGAAATATATATTTTATATAATAGAATAATATATATAATATATTATATAATAATAGAATGGAATAATATATTATATTATATTATTTATATTAATATATTATTTATAATATTTATATTATATATATTATTATATATAATATAATAATATATTATAATAATAATATAATAATATATATTATGTATATATAATGAAGAGCCATTGTTTTACATCCTTGCTAATGTTTTGACAATATCGGATTTCCCCTTTCAGGTGTAGTCACCTTGCTCCTCCACCACTAAAGCACTCAACTTCCTCCACCCTAGTCCACTGTGCTCTCTTCCCACTTTTTTCCTCTCCCTCCACCTCCACCTCTAAAAGCTATAGAACTGTCATCAGCTTTCAAGGGTTAGTTTTAAAGTTTGTCCTTGACCCTCTCTTTGGTTTCTCTATATTCTACATTTTAGCGACACTATCAGGTATTTATCTTTTACCTTCTGGCTTATTTCACTTCGCATACTCCATTTCAGCCCCATTCATCTTGCTGTAATGACATGAGTTTATCTTTTTTGATCACTAAGTAGTATTCCATTGTGTATATATACCACATCTTGGTCCTGTCATCTGTTTTGGGTCACTTATGTTGTTTCCATATCTTGGGTATTGTAAATAGCGCTGCAGTAAACATGGGGGTGCAGGTTTCCTTGTTTTTAGAGTAGCATAACCTGCTCACATAAGTTAAGTGCCATAAGTTCCTGTTCTTTCTCTTCCCAAGGAGTTAGTTTATCAGGAAATGAGGTAATAATTCTTAGATGTATTAAGTAATTCCCTATAGATCCTCTTCTTTAGACACTCTTTGGAATTAATATAGTGACTATTTTCTTGATTGTTCTCGTTACTCTGGTAAAAATTGTGCCTTTCCCAGACCAGAGGCAGACTTAGCAGGGCATTGTAGCAAATGATTTATATTTATTTACCTTGCTGCTTTTAGTTATATTTCATTGCAAAATAAAGTAATATACATATGCTTTTTCTTTAATTCATAGAATATATACACTTACTAAGAATTTGTCAATTTATTCACCACAAATTTCAACTCAAAATGATTTTCACTTTGTTCTCCATGTAGGGTAACCACAGTGTCCAGGGTTCTCCAGTTTCAACAAGTAGTCCTTCAGGGTTAACTCAGTTAACATTAGAGAGCAAGCTGGGAGAGGCTTCAAGGTGGACAAGCAAAGGATATCTAAAAAGTGCCCACTCAGAAGCAGAAGCATCAGAAAGCCAGAATTCCTTGGCAAAGCAGATAGATAGTAAAGACTTTCAAACGAGTTTGGTGCCTACACCATGCCTTTCTCCCCCTGGAAGAAGAAGTGACTCCACCCAGAAAACTCCAGATCCTATTACCAAAGCAAAGAACCTACCAGCCCAGCAAGTGCCAGTAAACAAAGGCTCCCTAAAGGAAATCTCAGGGGAAAAGTTGAAATTGATTCCCGAAGTGTCTGTAAGTGGTTTCACGTGGTTTACATATGCAGGCAGCACAGCCTGCTGTGTTCTGTTCTGTTCAAATGGCACACATTTTAGCAGTGTCTGTTTTTCATCATTTGGGTGATCAGTAATGTATTTTCTTTCCTATTCATAGCAGCTGTTAAGAGTACATTGCACATCCCAACAATAATAGAACGCCTCTTGTTTTTAATGAGAAAGATAATTATCATATTAGTTATTTTTTATTTCCCAGTTACTTCTCATAATTTTAGTTATCACGGTCTGCAAATCATAAATGAAGATCTTATTTTTGAGCCAAAAGCTTGCCAGTAAAATTGACAGCTTTTCAATAACAGTGTACATTAGGAACCATAAAAATATCATTATTCTATTCACTTTCCGGTCTCTTTGCAGCAGTTCCCCAAATAATAAATGATATGAGTGAAGGTTAACAGTAAAGCGGTGTCATTGAATAAATCCCTAGGCTAGTTTGGTGGCTATATTCATGTCCATCAGATTGATGGACATTCTGTGTTAGTTCTTTTCTTCCTTCACTTCCCCCATAGCTGCACTTAGAAACTAGAGACTATGCAGAACAAATGACATATATTCCATTTTCTTCAAACATCAAAGATTTTCTGTATTTGTCATGTCCTAAGTATTCACTGTATGTTACAATGTTAAGCTTTGGTTCAATTATGTTCTAAGCAATTTAGGATGGGTTAATTATTACTTAGCACCAGTTATAGACATATTTTGTATATACCAATATCAACAACATAGAAATAGGTAATATTACTTAAACATTTCCCATGTGCTAGTCGCTGTGCTAAGCCTTTTTCCATAAACTATTTCATTTAATCCTCACAAACAAAAACCCTGAGAAAGTATCACCATCCCCATTTTTCAGACAAGGTAACTGAGGTTCAGAACAGATATACAATTCGTTCAAGTACAAGAGCACTTTAGTTAAGGAATCACAACTCAAACACCGTTTGTCTGAGTGGGTAGCGCCATGCTGAGCTGCATAAACAAGTCTTAGAAAAGTGATGGCCTCGCCTCAAGAAACACCCAAAGATAAAACTGAAGTGTGTTTTCATCGTTATATCTCATATTTGTGTGCGTGTGCACATACGTAAGAAAATAGTAAATCTCTTAATCTAATGAAAATTATGTTCATTATGGTGATTAAGGAAGAAAGCAGGCACTATTTTCCACATTTTTCACTTTGAAAATATTTCTAATACAAATGTTCCACCTGACTGTATTTTTCCCCTTTGGCTGTGCTACTAATTGGAATACAACTAATTAACTGACCATCCAGATTTATTCTAAAACGCAGCTTCAGTTGATAAGTCAATACTGGGCTGCCAATAACAGAACCAGAGCAGGTCTTTGAGACGCTTCTATTCAGTTTTACCTAAATTCTTTGCCACCACTTTCTCTTGTAAAAATCTGTCACCCTATATATCCCCCCAAAAAATGGTTCTTTTCAATCTTTTTTTTTTTTAAAGATTTATTTATTTATTTATACAAGCACTGGGTACAGTGAGAAGCACGGGAGGGTGAGAGAATTTACCAGAGCCAGAGCGGGGAGCAGAGCAGGCAGAAGGACCGAAGTACACTGCTGAGGGGAGCAGCGGGCGGCAGGAGAGGTCTGCGCGCCATGTGGGACCCTCCTCTGGTGGCCGGGGAGCAACAGGGGATCGGGGATCCAATCGGCGCTGCAGAGGCTGCGGGCAGCTTCGCAACCCAGCGCTCAACCACTGCGCCACTGGGAAGGCCCTCTTTTCAATCTTTTTATTTGTCTGTAGAAATAAAACCAGAGCATGAAAATAAACTTGGTAACTTCAGTCACAAATGGGCTTTGTGTACTTGGCCACTCAGCAGAGTACACTGCCTGAGAAACCGTGCTCTCTGACAACACCAGGGAATAACAAAACAGGAAAGGGACCGACGTTTGGAGAGAGGGGGGCCCTTCTTCACCCATTCTCTTCATCTAAGAGGTTTTTAGGGGCCTCCCCGGTGGCGCAGCGGTTGAGCGCTGGGTTGCGAAGCTGCGCGCGGCCTCTGCGGCGCCGGTTCGATCCCCGGCTGCTCCCCGGCCACCAGAGGAGGGTCCCGCATGGCGCGCAGACCTCTCCTGCCGCCCGCTGCTCCCCTCAGCAGTGTACTTCGGTCCTTCTGCCTGCTCTGCTCCCCGCTCTGGCTCTGGTGAATTCTCTCGCCCTCCCGCGCTTCTGACTGTACCCAGTGCATGTATAAACAAAAAACAAACAAACAAACCAGCAAACAAATAAATAAAGCATGCCTCTATTAAAAAAAAAAAAAAAAAAAAAAGGTTTTTAGGATAAAACAGTTCCCAGAAACCATTTTGATTATTTTAGGAGAACCTTTGGGCAGCCTCTCACTGCAGATTACATAACACCTGCCTGACATACTGTCTCTTCTTCTGCACAGGGTCCCTCTGAGATATTACTATTCCATTTTACAGCTAAAGAGACTGACAGAGCAATCCCTTCAAAGGGATAAAAGGGAGAAGGAGCTTAATCTCTGATGAGGGAATAAAGGCACAGAGGCATGGCTTCCCATTTGTGCAGAGAGGTTTGACCTCAGTGTCAAAATTTGATTTCTAACAACCCACAGAATCACTGCAATATGCCTCACGATTGTGAATGTGATCATCTCAGTTTAATAGGGTAGAAAATTATTGAAGGCAAAGGCAGTTTGCCTCATTTCAAAGTGAATCTACAATGGGAATAGAGTGTTTTTCAGAGACACCATTTGAAAAGGAAATTCATGTCACAGCAAAAGGGATCTTGCAAAGGGTCATAGCAAAATGGATCTCCACTTGATGTTTGAAGTTAAGTATCTGAACACAAATTTCCTGAGATGAGTGTGTGTGCTTATTAACTCCACAAAGGGATTTTTCTCTAGGTCCTAGAAACCTATAGGGGTGACTTAAGTAACCACTGAGTTTCAGTTCACACAGCATAGAATTCAGCCTTTTTTAGATCATTTTCATCACTCCAAAAAGAAACTCCAAATCCATTAATAGTCACTCCCCTTCCCTCTATACCTCCCCCTGCCCAAAACTCCTGGTGACCATTAATCTACTTTTTTTTTTTTTGTCTCAGATTTGCCTATCCTGGACCTTAGATATAAGTGTAATCACACAATGTGTGATCTTTGGGGTCTGACTTCTTTCACTTAGCATAGTGTTTTCAAAGTTCATCCATGTTGTAGCATTTCATTTTAATGCCTGAATAATCATCCACATTATGGATTTGGCATATTTGTTCATTCATTTATCATTTGATAAACTCTTGGTTGTTTCCATTCACTACTATGAGTGATGCTGCTGTTAACTTTCACAAGCAAGTCCTCATGTGGACAAATGTTTTGTGGAAAACTGCCCAGCTGTTTCCAAAGTGTCTGTACCATTTTACATTCCTACCAGTAAGGTAGGAATCTATTAGGTATTGGGGGAGGAGGGACATGGAGGGCGGGGTGTCTAGTTTCTTTACAACCTAGTCAGGACTTGTTATTGTCTGTCTTTTTTTATATGAGCCATACAGTATGTGGGGAGTGGTATCTGCGGTTGGGTTTGCATTTCTCAGTGACTAAAGTGCCTTGAATCTTTTCGTGTGTTTATTAGCCATTTCAAGCTCCTTTGGAGAAATGCTTATGCAAATCCCATGCCTATTTTTTTAATTTTTTTTAAAGATTTATTTATTTATTTATACAAGAACTGGGTACAGGCCAGATGTGCGGGAGGGTGAGAGGATTCACCAGAGACAGAGTGGGGAACAGAACAGGCAGACTACAGAAATACACTACTGAGGGGAGCAGTGGGCGAGACAGGAGAGGTCTGCTGCGCCATGTGGGACCCTTGCCAGCTGGCCGGGATCGAACCGGCGCTGCAGAGGCTGCGAACAGCTTCACAGCACTGCGCTCAACCACTTGCGCCACCAGGGGAGGCCCCCATGCCTATTTTTAAGAGGATTATTTATCTTTTCATTGTTCGGTTGTAAAAGATTGGATACTAGTCTCTTGTGAGGTAGATGATATGCAAATACCCCCTCTTATTACCTAAGTTGTCTTTTCATTTTTTTTTTTTGATGGTATCTATTGAAGCATGAAAGTTTCTAATTTTGATGAAGCACAGTTTATCTATTTTTTCCTCTGTTGCTCATGCTTTTGGTATTACATTGCCTAATCTGAGGTCACAAAGATTTACTGTTTTCTTCCAAGAGTTTCATAGTGCTAGCTCTTAAACTTAGTTCCATGTTGAGTTAATGTTTGTATATGTAGGAAAGTAGAGATTCAACTGTGATTTTTGCATGTGGCTATCCAGTTATGCCAGCATCACTTGGTTGAAAGATTGTTCTTTCCCCATTGAATTGTCTTGTCACCCTTTATGAAAGTCAGTTGGCCATACATTATATAAGGGTTTGTTTCTGGACACTTAATTCTATTCTCTTTATCTATATGTATCACTTTATGCAGTGCCACACTGATTTGATTAGTATAGGTCTTGTCCATTTGTTTGTTTTTTTACATTTTAAAAGGACAGGTTTAGGAGGAAAAGGAGAGAGAAAAAGCGGTGCCTGCATAGTCATGGGCAGCCAGGAGTGCTGCTGATTATTACAGTTTTATCATCAGTTTTGAAATCTGGAAGTGTGAGTGCTCCCATTGTTTCCTTCCTCTTTTGATTGTTTTTATAATGCTGAGTCCCTTGCATTTCCATTGAACTTGAGGATCATCTTGTCAGCTTCTGAAAAAAAAAAAAAAAAAAAAGCAAGATTTTTATTTTGATTGCATTGTATTAAATCTATTTCAATTTGGAAAATACTATCATTTTAATAATATTATACATTGCAATCTATGGCATATCTTTCCATTTATTTGTGTCTTTAATTTCTTTCAGCAGTGGTTTATAGTTTTTTTAGTATAAAAATCTTTGCTGCTTTTGCTAAATTTATTCCTAAGTATTTTATTCTTTGTGATGCTATT